TAAATAAATATTACAAAAAAATAAAATGGGGCATTGTTGGGGTATAGTGGGTTAAGTGACTGCTTTAGACACCTGCATCCTGTACCGGAGTGCTAGTTTGAGTCCTGGCAAATCTTCCGATCCAACTCCCTGCTAATATGCCTAGGGAGCAGTAGACAATGGCTCAAGTACTTGATCCCTTCTACTCTCATGGAGTTCGTGGCTCCAGGCTTCAGTCTGGCCCTGACCCACTGTTGCAGCCATCTGGGGAGTGAACCAGTGGATGGAAGACTTCTTCCTCTCTGTATCTCTCCCCATCACTCTGTCTTTCAAATGAGTAAGTAAATTTTTTAAAGTAGCAGTAAAAATTATCTAACAACGTTTTCAAAGGACTATTTTACATTCCCACTGTAAACACTATAACCTTCCTAACATGAATTTTATGTTTTGAGTGTAGCCACTCCAGGGGAATGCATTGTACCCCATTGTGGTTTTAACTTGCTTTTGCCTTAATGACTAATGATATTGACCATCTTTGCATGTTTCTATTTCTTTCCATATATACCTTTGGGTAAAAATCTAATCATTTTAAAAGATCTTATTGAGTTGCATATCTATGCAATTTGTTTATTAGAAATATGACTGGTGGGGCCAGCACTGTGGCATAGTGGATAAAGCCATGCTCTGCAGCACTGGCACCCCATATGGGTGCCGGATCACAACAACCCTGAGCTGTGCCAATCCGAAACCAGGTGCCAGGAGCTTCCTCCGGGTCTCCCACATGGATGCAGGGGCCCAAGGACTTGGGCCATCCTCTACTGCTTTCCCAGGCCATAGCCAAGAGCTGGATCAGAAGTGGAGCAGCCAGGACTCGAACCAGCATTTAAGGGATGCTGGTACTGCAGGCGGCAGCTTTACCCGCTATGCCACAGTGCCAATCCTTGGGTGGAGTCTTACCACTGTTCACTCAGCCACTGTTAACAGCCTGGGGTTGGCATCCTGAGCTTATTATGAATTTTCTTCTCACACATGAGAAATTTTTATTCAGCAACAAAACCTATGACCTTCCATCCAATTACTAGAAATAAATAAATGTAAATTTTCCAACAGGACATATTTATAACTTTGCGGAGCTCTTGTCTGTGTAAGATGCCCATTTCTATGGGATGGATGTCCAATGTGGGCATAAGTTAAAGTACGGTAGGTCCTGCCAGATCTTTTCTTTAGAAAGCTATAGTGATTCACGCTTACGGGAGCAGTGAATGAGTGTGTGCGTGGTTTTTCAAGTGAGGACATGGGAGCATCCATTCTAATGCCGGCCTCTGGACAGCCTTGGGTTCCGCTTTTATTTAGAGGATATCAACAATTCTATAAGCCAACAGGCACGTAGGCAAGTTTATACATCAACTCAAGGATTTGGGGAAAGATCTGGTGGACTAAGATATGGATCAGAGCTGTTGTAAATCTTCAGATAGGTTGATTTAAATGTTCCCGCAAATCTTACAAATTCCTGAAAACACCCCAGGTACCACTAGCCCCCTGCTGGTCCCGCTGCCACGTTCCTGTAGGGGCTAGTGTGCCCATCCCCCCATGGCACAAGCAGAAACTGAGGCCCTGCCTCTAATTTGAGAACAGTTTGCTGAGAGACACTTGGGCAGCATCTTCTGCAAGTGTGTTTCTGTGAACCTTCTCCCCTGTAGAGTGTTGCTAATAAAGTTGTGTTTGCCAACTGATGGGTGGGAAATGATTTATCATTGATGTTTGCCTCTGTGTGTATTTGTATGCTTTTTGAGCACTTGAAGTTTCTTCTTTTTAAGCTGCCTGTTCAGGTCCCTTGTGGGGGATTGTTGGTCACCTTTTATTCATAGATTTGCAGTTTTATATAGCAGGTATATTAATCTTTTTTCATGTGTGTTGAAAATATTCTTCTACACTGTGTTTAATATCTTTATTGCTTTTTTAAGAGTTATTTATTTATTTGAAAGGCAGAGTTACGTAGAGAAAGAAAGGGAGAAACAAAGAGAGAGATCTTCCATCTACTGATTCATTCCCCAAATGACAGCAACAGCTGAAGCTAGAGCGATCCAAAGCCAGGAGCCAGGAGCTTCTTCCAGGTCTCCCAAGTGGGTGCAGGGGCCAAGCACTTGGGCCATCTTCTACTGCTTTCCCAGGCACATTCACAGGGAGCTGGCTTGGGAGTGGGGCAGCTGGGACTCAAACTGGTGTCCATTTGGGATGCTGGCACTGCAGGTGGCAGCTTTACCCCTACGCCGCAGCGCGGCCCCTTGATTGCTTTTTTACAACATTTGAATCTGTTAAGGGAAATCTTCCCCTAGATGTTCTCTTCCATGTTTGTTCTGACTCAAACATTTGTTACATTATATGAATATTCGTATCATTTTATCCAGTTTTAATGGGGTCTCAGGTTGCAGGTGTACCACTTATATAATAATTTCAGAAGGATCAATTTTTTAAAAAGATTTATTTATTTATTTGAAAGTCAGAGTTACATAGAGAGAGTAGAGGCAGAGAAGAGAGAGAGGTCTTCCACTCGTTGGTTCATTCCCCAATTGGCCGCAACGGCCGGAGCTGTGCCGATCCGAAGCCAGGAGCCAGGAGCTTCCTCCAGGTCTCCCATGTGGGTGCAGGGGACCAAGGACCTGGGCCACCTTCTACTGCTTTCCCAGGCCATAGCAGAGAGCTGGATCAGAAGTGGAGCAGTTGGGTCTTGAACTGGCACCCATATGGGATGCTGGCACAGCAGGCAGCAGCTTTACCCGCTATGCCAAAGCACTGGCCCCAACATTTTAAAATTGGTATGTTTTCCTAAGTTAACTTTTATATCTCCATTTATTTCTATCTCATTAAGTGCTCAGTAAAATTTTATATTTTCCTCATAAAATTATCATACTTTCGAGTTGTTTATAAATATATAGAAATGTAGGGGCCAGTGCTGTGGCACAGCATGTAAATGACCTGGCCTGAAGCGCTGGCATCCCATATCAGCGCCGGTTCAAGACCCAGCTGCTCCACTTCCCATCCAGCTCTCTGCTATGGCCTGGGAAAGCAGTGGAAGATGGTCCAAGTCCTGCACCTGTGTGGGAGACCTGGAGGAGCCTCCTGGCTCCTGGCTTCGGGTCAATGCAGCTCTGGCAGTTCCAGCCAATTGGGTATTGAACCATTGGATGGAAGACCTCTCTCTCTCTCTCTCTCTCTCTCTCTCTCTCTCTCTGCCTCTCCTCTCTCTGTAACTCTGACTTTCAGACTTTCAAATAAATAAATAAATCTTTAAAAAGTATATGGAAATGTATTTGCTATTGTGTCTGAAGTATTATTTTCTTTCCTTTTGTTTTTGTTGTTCCATATAAAAGCTATAACTATTTTATAAATATTCTTTATTCATACTCCTCACAAATTGTTATCTTGGCTCTTAGACATTTTCTTAGGCGGCTGGTGTTTCTATAAATGGAATTATAGGGCATACTATTTTGTACGTAATTTTAATATATATACCAATTATTTTTTATTCTATTGCATTATCTAAAATTTACTTAAAATAATGATGGTAGAGGTAGGCATCCTTCTTATTTTTTTCTATTTAAATGACAAAAATACTTTACACAATGATGCAGCAATTCCACTCCTAAGTGCTTACCCAAAAGATATGAAAACCCCATCACACCTGCGCACACACACACACACACACTCACACACACACTCAAACCTTGATGCAAAAACAGCAACTTTATTTTGCTAGCCCCAGACATGAATCCATCCAAGTGTCCATCAATGGGAACATATTAGACCGTGGGAGACTCATGCAATGAATTCCTTCAACAATAACAAGGAACAAAATTCGTCCCATACAACACATGTGATGCGTGAAAGAAGGCAGCCACAAAGCACACGTTACGTATGATTCCATTCCTATGAAAGCCAAACAGGCACCATTAGCCTCTGGTGATGGCCGGGCATCCTCAGGGAGTGGTCAGCAGGAGCTCTGCGCTCCACCCTTTTCTCAAGCCACACATTGGGTTGGAGCCCCGGGTCCCCCTCGCACTCCCCACCGCCTCTCCCGGAGCCGCGTCCTGACTCAGGGCACCTCCACCTGACCCTTTGTCTTCGAGGTTTTGGTTGAGATCTCGCACTTTTTCCTTGTCTTCTGCCATCATCTTTGTCCCTGTGAATCTAATTCCTTTGTCATCATCTTAGTGGGGTCTTTAATAAAAGATAAGACGAATGGATTTCTTCAAATTCAAAACAATAACGTGTCTTATTATTTCCTGCTGCATGTTGAAGACTGGGCAGTGCCCATAATTCTTGTCAGGTTTGACAAAGAAAGCGTATGAGTTTTTGGGACATTTAGGGATGCAGAGATGTTGATTAAAGCATTTTTTCAGAGCAATAAAGTGAGCAATGAGTTATATTTATTACAGAGTTGGACTCATATTTAAGATTTCTTTCCCAGAAAGTAGCTGCAATTTCTGAAATTTAGATGACGAAAAAGACAGTATACTTAACAATAACACAGATTTATATTAACACAAAAAAGAGCCAGATGTCTTGGGAGCTATGACTGACATTTTTGTGAAATCCTCAGTTCACAGTTGTCATTGTCATTATTTAACTGTATTGTATCACAAATTAATTTTATGAGGTAGGATGGTATTTCTTGCTTAATGACTAGTCAGAGATGGGACTTTCTGTGATCTGTTTTCTTAGTTGTTCATTAAGATGTATATTGAAGGCTAGATTCTATTTTAGTCTATTACTTTATATTCCTCTGTAAAGCACCTGTTCACTCCATCTTTATTTTATAGGAGTTAAAAATTTTTAATTCAGGAAATTTTCCAGTGAAGATGTGTTTCTAACCGCTCTAATCAGGACAAGCTGGGCTCGTCGGTCCCGCATTTAAGTCGTTCGTAACCTCCATGCTTTCTTCCACTTTATCTCCATTGCGTTACTTCCACTGTCCGATTCCTGCTGACGACCACCTGTTTTGTCCATGTCGGCCCCCGCAGGCCTCTGGATCCTGACGCCCGTGTTCACGGGCTGTGCTTCCCCCCTAGGATGTCCATAGAAGACCAGAGCGCAGAGGAACGGCTGATCTATGAGGCTGTGTTCACACACTTCAAGAGACATAAAGTGGAGATTTCAAGCGCGATCAGAAAGACGTTCCCTTTCCTCGAGGGCCTTCGTGACCGCGAACTCATCACAGACAAAATGTTTGAAGTAAGTAAAGCCTGTTCTGCCACGACCTGGCCAGCCAGCGCCGACGCAGCTTTGATATTCCAGGCGCAAATTGCAGAGTCCAACCGGCCGACGGGTGGGTCTCCCGCGAGGGGTCCCTTTCTGGTGTTTCTGTCAGCGCAGCTGTGAGGTAGAAAGGGAGACAGGAAGCAGAAATGGCGGGAGACGACCTGCTGTGACCGGAGCAGTGGTGTTACCTGGCGCCCCCTGCAGGCGGGTGGGATGCACTGGAGATTGGAAACCGTCGTCCACCGATGGGCAATGTCTGATGTTTTCCATACCCTGTAATTCAGACAGTTCATTCAATACAATGTAAGCTAAGCATTTAAGATAATTTTAATGAACTGATGAATGGTTTCTTTGGGCTACTGAAACAGTTATAGTCACAACATTTTATTTCAATGAATACCGAACTGGTTTAAAATACCTACATCTGAAAACCTCAAAACCCATAGGAACGGGTGTCTTGTTAGGATAACTTCGGGAGTGGATGCCATAACTTATGGTTTTCCTTATTTTTTCTTTGGGAGCTCACAGAGTTTTCAAGTTTGGGTAAATTTTACCCACAGGCCCTCTTGGTGATCCAGAGTGCATTTTTCTTTGCCCTGTAGACATGCATTTCTCATGGCCAAATTCACGGCCATGGGGGGTGGAGGTGGGGAGGTGGTCACCTGATTTTCTTGAGCCCCTTGGCCCAGTCAGTCACAGGGGAGGGCAGGGGCCAGCCAGTCAACAGAAATGCTGCTCAGTCCTCTGTGCTCCACCGTCTGGCCAGCCTCTCCCAGGATTCCATGTCGCTTAACTTTGAATCCACTTTTTCCATTCAACACTGCTCCTTCTTGCATTGAATGGCAATGAAGGTGAGAAGCTCCGACTTACCACTGAGAATTTTTCAACTTTACTTATTTGAGATGTGGGGGGAAAGAGAGAGAAGTGGGGTTCCCGTCTGCAGTTTCACTTCCAAAATACCTGCAATGGCAGTAACTGAGCCAGGCCAAAGCCAAAGCCAGGAACTCAATCTGGGTCTCCCATGTTCGTGGCAGGGATACAAGTACTAAAGCCATTAGTACCGCCTCCCGGGGCTGCCTTAGCAAGCAGCTAGGAGTCAACCACAGGCACTCTGATGGGGACACAGGCCACCTGAACAGCATCTCAACCAGTAGGCAAAACGCCTGCCCCACCAAAGGAATGTTGTTAAAAATTAACACTGTTAAAAAGATTCAGGATTTTTAAAGATTTATTTATTTATTTGAGAAATTGGGTTACAGACAGAGAGAGGGAGAGACAGAGAGAAAGGTTTTCCATCCACTGGTTCACCTCCCAAATGGCCTCAATGGTGGAGCTGCACCGATCCAAAGCCAAAAGCCAGGAGCTTCTTCCGGGTCTCCCACGTGGGTTCAGGGGCCCAAGGACGTGGACCATCTTCCACTGCTTCCCTAGGCCATGGCAGAGAGCTGGATTGGGAGAGTAGCAGCTGAGACACGAACTGTTGCCCATAGGGGATGCAGGTGCCGCAGGTGGTAGCTTTACCTGCTTTGCCACAGCTCCGGCCCCATCCAAAGGAAATTTTTAAGGTGGAAGGATTTAGTTGTTTCATTTGGTAGCCATACAGATATACAAAAATTCTAGAACTTTCCATGAGATAATCTTATGTAGAGAAATTGGAATGCATTAAGAATAAAATTCTTTTCTAGAGCTCTTCTGTCACTTGAAAGTCTGTGTCTCTCTATTGCACATTTTTTCAGGATTCTCAAGACTCTTGCAGAAACCTTGTCCCTGTGCAAAAAGTGGTGTACAATGTCCTCAGGGAGCTGGAGAAGACCTTTCACTGGGCAGTTCTGGAAGCGCTGTTCAGCGAGGTCAACCTGCAGGAATACCCTGATTTAATTTCCGTTTATAAAAGCTTTGAAAGTGGTAATTATGTTTATTATCTACCTTTTGAGATCCAGGATTAATTTTTTCAACAAGCATATACTGAGTTTCTAGCTCTTGCCACACACTATGCTAGACAGTGGGGATATAGTAGTTGTCAAAACAGACACATCATGAACCTCCTTAAAGCTTGTAGCATAGGGGCGGTGTACAACCATTACCCAGAGGTCTGCTGAGCTGGGCATTTAGAATAACAAGACAGCCAGAATGACATGGACATGAGGTTTGCATAGGGCAATAACAGAATCCCAACAAGGCCGTATCAGTGGCTTCCCTTCCATTGGAGCCCTTGCAGTATTCTACACTGAAGCCCTCCAAGTTGACTACCACCTGCCCTGAGTGACAGTTTAACTGAGAGTCAGGATACAGCTTGGCTCGGCGCTCCCTGCCCATGGGCATCAGTCCACAGTCAGAGTTGCAGGGGCCCCACAGGGACAAACTGGGCTACAAGAGTCGCCACATTAAAGGAGGACCTATGGCCTCCCACCAGGTGTTTGTGGTTCGTGTACCGCCCCTCCAAGTCTATTAGCCAAGGGACATTGTTATCCCTAAACCCAGGGAAGGCACTACCGCTGTTAGGTTTCCAGAGTAATGAGCAGCAAAGTTAATCCTGGGTTCAAATTCTGCCTTTCCAGGAGAAATGGAGCTACTTTCTAAAATGGGCAGAACAAACGCGTATCAAGTTGCTCCGCTAGGGACTAGTTTTGGGGCTATACCAAGCTAAAAGGCCTATTCTCTGCTTTTTCCTGAGAAGGTGTGGTTTACACTCCTTTGTTTGTACACAGCAAAAGGTGTGCCTTCCAATTTTTTTATGCTTTACTTATGTATTTGAAAGACAGAGTTAGAGAGAGAGGAGGAGGAAAAACAGAGTTACACAGAGAGAGAGTGAGAGGGAGAGAGAGAGAGAGAGAGAATCTTCCATCTGCTTGTTCCCTCCCCAAATAGTTGCAATAGCCAGAAACTTCTTCTGTGTCTCCCATGTGGGTGCAGGGCCCAAGCACCTGGGCTTCTTCTGCTGCTTTCCCAGGTGCATTAGCAGGGAGCTGGATTGGAAGTGGAGCAGCCAGAACTCAAAGCGGTGCCCATATAGGATACCAGTGCTGTAGGCTGTGACTTGAACCTGCTGTGCCACAGCGCCGGCCCCTGTGGTTTTGTTTTTTTTGTTTTTTTTTTTTTTTTTAATTACTTGCCTGTATTTTTATTCCAACACAGTTTTGACTCAACCATGTTATCCAGATAAGAAACATCTGGAGAAAACCTTCCTGATGCTGTCAGCTCAGGAGGGTGGGTGCTACGGGAACAGGAGTGGAAGTGCGAAAAGAAGTCTGCAGAACCCCGACCTGGCTGAATCCACGAGCTGAAGCAGAGGGGGCGCTGAGTCAAGAGATGGGTGGAGGCAGACTTTGAAGGGTCAGGCACACACAGCTAAGGGATATGAAGTTTATTTGCTAGACAATAAAGAGATACTATAGGTTTATAAACAAGGGGAAAAATGAAATGGAGGTATCTATGCCTCGCTGATTGATAATGATCTTATCTAATCATGAAATAATTTTTATAGCAAATCAAGTCACAAAAAGATGAGATCAAGTACCGGGGCACAAATTCTGGGTGAATATTCTATTTATAAGCAGGAGTTCCCCAGTCCATGGGTACAAAGGAAATGGTGCTACGTTTACTGTACGCATTGCAGGGCCTCGGGTCCTCTTCGTGGGCTGTGGCCTCATGCCCATCTCTGCTGCCCCCACTGCTGAGCAACTCAGACTTGAGGCTCACCATCCACCCTGGACTGCTGCCTCTGCTCTCTGGACCTGGAGGTCCCAAAAGCCTCGCCTGCATTTCCTAGTGCCTTCCTTTGGGAACAGCTCATTCTCACCCAATTAAGCTCCAATCCGCCCCCTTTCTAGCTCCATCGTTAAAGCTGTTGGATATTCTCTGTTGCGTGCCGACTTCTTCAGAACCTGAGACCCTCTCCTGAGGACGTCTCTGCTTCTTTCTCACAATCTAAACAATTTAGAAAACACATGTTTGAGGGTCAGCGCTGTGATACAACAGGTAAAGCAGCTGCCTGTGACGCCGGCATCCCATATCGGAGTGCTGGCTTGAGTCCCGGCTGCTCCACCATCCTGCTCCCTGCTAATGCTCCTGGGGAGGCAGCGGGTGATGTTCCAAGTGCCTGGGCCCCTGAACCCAAGTGGGAGACCCAGATGGAGTCTGAGGCTCCTGGCTTCAGCCTGGCCAAGCCCTGGCTGTTGTGAGCACTTGGGGAATGAACCAGTGGATGGAAGATCTCTCCCTTCCCCACCACCCCCCTGACTCTGCCTGTCAAATAAATGAGAATCTTAGAGAGAGGACGGGGCAGCACTGTGGGGTAGTGAGTAAAGCCACCGCCTGCAGTGCCGGCATCCCATATGGGCACCAGTTCGAGTCCCAGCAGCTATACTTCTGACACAGCTCTCTGCTATGGCCTGGGAAAGCAGTAGAAGATGCCACACGTCCTTGGGCCCCTGCACCTGCATGGGAGATCCAGACGAAGCTCCTGGCTCCCAGCTTCAGATTGGCTCCATTTGGAGAGTGAACCAGTGGGATGGAAGACCTCTCTCTCTACCTCTGCCTCTCTGTAACTCTGCCTTTCAAATAAATAAATAAATTTTTAAAAAGGCTAGAAAAAAAAAAAAAACACCCACATTTCACTTCTGTTAGGTATTCTGATGTCTGCTTTCCCTGCCTCTGATCACCCGAGGGAACACAGCCCACAATGCCTCCACCACTCTATCTTCCACTCTTGGGTGTCTCTTTGCTTGGGACACATCAAGGCTCCCTCGTTGGTGTCGTCTTTCTGTCTCACAAACTGATGGGTGATCTTTCAGTCCCGTGGGATGCACTGAGCCCTGAGTGACCCAGAGGCTGGAGAATCCTAAGAGGGTGGCTTTGAGACTTCCCCCGTCCCTGCAAAAGTCTCTGACTGCCCTCTTGCATCTCCCTGTCCTCAGTGATCCATGACAAGCTGCCCTACCAGGACGATGGTGGAGGAGAGAGAGGGGAGAGGTCCACCTTCCGGCTGCGCCTTAGACAAGGTAACAGTGACTGGATAAAAAGTGCTTCTCATTTGCTGCTGGGGAATGGAGGCGGGGGGTTTGGGTGGAGAGTATGTGTCAGGGACAAAACACAGAAGGAGGCGGGGAAGGTCAGGAGGGGTGCTGGGGTGAGCCCCTGCTTGGGTGGGGGTCCTGGAGGAAGAGCCGGGCTCAACAGCAAGATACAGGCAGCAGAGCCCAGAGTGGAGGCAGCCAGGCTTAAAGGGACGAGCCACCTGGAAGACATTGTGACTGAGAAACTAACTTCCAGGTGGGAGAAGCTGGGAGTGAAGCCGTGCAGGGCTCAGACACATGGCCCGTGTCCAGCCCTGAAGAGGAAAGCAGATGGTAAAAACAACCCTCTGTTTCACCTTTACCCGCACACGCACCCACTCCGGCACCACGTGTGTGGTTCTCCCCGCAGCAGCCAGTAGCAGGTGTTTGATGATTTAATGTAATCCAGGCACCAGCCAGGTGCATGTGCAGGGCTCAGTCCCACAAGATGGCAACCCACCCCTTTGGATGCCAGCTGAAAGTCCCGGGTTTTGGCATTGGAAGGTGCCCTGATCCCCTCTTTGAGTTTCATAGTCTGTAGTATGGCTTGCAGAACTCAGGGTAATGTTGACTGGCGCTGACCCATTCAAACCATTGGCCACTGTGACTGCAGCAGCCTCATCCTCTCTTCCCTGCCTGGAGGTCAGGGGCTCCAGCCCTCTCTCCTTAGGGGCTGCATCCTTGGGGGCTTTCCAAAAGTCACCTCGCTGCCATACACTCTGGTGAGGTTAGAAGGGGTGGGTTGTAACACCAGGCGCTCTTCACATCTCCATCACCTGTGGAATTGCATGGGTTTTAGGGGTTCTGGCAAGGAACAGGAGCTAAAAACCAAAGGGGGCAGTTCTGAGTTCTGATGTCATCCCAGCATCACGCTCGCTGATGGCAGAGGCAGGGACCAGTGTCCGTGCGGGGCTGCTGTCCAAGAGCAGGACGTTGCAAAGAGAAAGGCACTCATTTAGAGAGACGCAGAGAGGAAGTGGGGGAGACTGAGGAGCAGGATGTGGGTGCCAAGAGAGGGAGAACGCAGAGAAGGGGTGAGCGACGGCGTGGAGGAGGACACGTGGCTGACGGCTCACTCTGGACGCTTGTGGACTTAGTGCTCGGACTGCATTGGCAGCTGCTGTCGCTTAGGTACCTCTGTGTAGAGAATTGGGAGGGACCCGGTGTGGAGGTGCCGGGGAGGCAGGGTGGGCCCAGGTGTTCTGAACTCAGAGCCCTGTACTCACCGAATGAAAAAGGCAGAAACAGGCAGAACAAAGCATAGCAAGAGCTGGAGGAAGAGGAGGAGAGCCGGGCACCTAATCCCCAGGGAGGCAGCTCTGCGGGGGAGGGGCAGACGTGTAGAGGAGGGTGTGGTGCGAAAGGGGCGGGGCCTGGCCCCAGGACTTGCTGGGATCTGATGGGAGGCTCTGGGGCAAAACAGGCTCACTTTGGCTGTCGGTGTCAAGCCATCATCACCCGTTGCCAGACTGCCTGGTGCAGGACCCTAGTGGGGAGGCCTGGGGAGACCCCCAGCCGAGGGTGTGGCTGGCCCGTTCGCCCTCTCTTAGGGTTGGAATCTAACTTTAAGAGTCAGGTGGAGGGGTGGGCGTTGGGATGCAGGAGGTTAAGCCTCTGCACAGGATGCCTCCAGTCCACTCCCTGCTGTTGTACTGGACAGGCAGCAGGGATGACCCAAGTGCTCAAGTCTCTGCCACCCACATGGGAGACCCCGATAGAGTCCTAGGACCCTGGCTTCTGAGATTTCTCTCTCATCGCTCTGCCTGTCCAATAAATTAAATATTTTTTAAGAGAGAATCGTGTGTGGCTCTGGCAGCCCCAGGAGGGCACTGGATTGGTACTTAGAGGAGGTCTTTAAAGGGGTTAGGGGAGAAGAGCTGCATTCACAGACTTCTGATCTCTTGCCTCCTAGGAGCCGGCGAACCTTCTTTTCAACAAAGCCTGCCCTGGTGCCCCTCAGACGCCTCGTCTTCTGACGGTCTGTTCTGGGGGTCGTTGCTCGTTTGGCCCAGTCTGGGATGGGCTGGGGGCTGGGAGCTGGGGGCAGGGAGTGGGGGTGGCTGCCGCTTGCTGGTTCTCACTGCCTGGGGCGTTCAGTCTGTCCACCTGTGGTTTCTCCGAGTTCAGGATTTAGATAACGGGCCTTTCTCTTCAGGGTTTTCTTTTTCCCTTCCTCCTGCCAGCTCCGGGTGATGGGGCCTGGCTGCCTCCTTGTGCGTGCTCCTGGCTCCATGGTCGTCTGCCTGTGTCTTCCTCACATCTGGCCCTGCCGCACTGCTCTGGCCCTGGCTGTGGTGGAGGCCAGTGCTGGGAGGAGTGGGGAGGGGGGACGATTGTGGACTTTCTCTGCTTTCTCCTTCCTTGGCTCCGTCACACGGGGCCCTGACGCTACTGTGCCTCCCCCACGACATACCCCTCACTCCTGGGGTAGCAAGCCAGGGTCCCCCATGCCGAACACCAAACAGGGCACTGCCAAGCTCCTTAATAACCGATAACCACAGTTGCCAACTCTTCACTCTCCCTTAATCCACAGCACTCTTAATATGTGGCTCAACTATTCAAAATATTGTCCATTTAAGATGTGAATTATAATGCTTTTGTTTTTCCAGTCTGTTACAGTGTCTTATGTATTCATGCAGGCAATATTTCATGTGTCTTCCCAGAAAATTTAAAATGCAGTATATTCCCCTCATTTTTCAGAGGAGAAAGAGTTGGGTTAGGGAGTGTGGTCCTGTCCAAGTTCACTCACCTAGGAATTGACACCTAGGATTTGACACTGCTCCCAGCTAGCGTCAGGGATTCCGGTGCCCACCTGCCTGGTCCACGTTCTGCCCTGTGATGCTGGCTGCCCCTGTGAGCCTCTGCTTCGTCCCACGAAGCACGTGCCTTTTCGCCGTGTGTTTGTGACAAGTTCCATCACGTGAAGCAGTCACCATCCTGCCTGGTGCCTCACGGTGTCTTGCCCTTCTCATCACTAACTTAACTCTCAGTCTTATGTGCACCTGCCTGCAGATCGAAGCGTCTGTCTAACCATTGCTGTGAACTCTGAGATTTCCTTCTGGTGTGCTCTGAGGCAGGTGTTCTCTGTGGACATAATAGTTCTCCAGCTGGGGTAGCAGTGATAGAAGCAACGCCAGTGTTAGAGACCAGGGGCCATGGTTCCTCCCCCTTAGAGCACTCCAGCCATATACAGTTAATGCTAAGTCTGTATTCCATGATCTTCTTCGGAGATGATAGCAGAGAACAGGCTGGGAAAATCTCAACTCCGTGCAAAGTCCTTTTTATGTAGCTTCTGATGGGGTGAGGTGTTACTCAAGAAAGGATTTTTTTTAATTTGTAATGACATTTTTATAAAAGAGAAAAAAGTTACTCTTTTAGAAAACCACTTCTTTTAAAAGTCACATTTAAATATATTTTTTCTTTTTTAAAAAATATTTATTTTATTTATATTTATTTATTTATATATTTATTTATTATTTATATATAATAATTATTATTTATTATTATTAATAATTATTATTATTTATTATTATTTATATTTATTTATATTTATTTATTTGAAAGACAGAGTTAGAGACAAAGAGAGAGAGGCCTTCCATTCACTGGTTCACTCCCCAGATGGCCACAACGGCCGGAGCTGCACCCACCCGAAGCCAGGAGCCAGGAGCTTTCTCTGGGTCTCCCACGTGGGTGCAGGGGCCCAAGGACTAGGGCCACCTTCTGCTACTTCCCCAGGCCATAGCAGAGAGCTGGATCGGAAGAGGAGCAGCCAGGACTAGAACTGGCGCCCATGTGGGATGCCAGTGCTTCAGGCCAGGGCTTTAACCCATTGCACCACAGCGCCGGCCCCCACATTTAAATTTATTAAAAATTCAACGTGGATGAATCGAATCCCTATTCTTGAATGTCCATCTCCTAGTGCAGATGCTGGGAGCAGGGAGAAGAGAATACGAGAGGAGGGAGGATTTGGGAGAGTGGAGAGGTGGCCAGGCTAATAAATTCTTGATAAACTCCCGGTGTGGTCTAGGAGCAACCACACCTGGAGACAGAATCCCCACCGAACAGAGGAATACAAGGAGAAGCATTGCAACGTGCAGACCAAGCGACACACAGAGAACATCTGTGAGAGTGTCCCGGACTCCGATTGTGACACACACGGATGGGGAAGGGCTGTGTGTCGTGCCCACCACCCAAAGACGCATCACCAGGTCAAACACCTGGGCCCCTGTTCTACATTAAAACTTCCGGAAATGTCTTTAAATCATTCTTTCTGGAAGTTACTTTGTTTAGAAAAATAACATTAAGTGAAGAAAAAAAAAGTACTGGAGAATACCTTTGCCCACCTAGAGGCTGTTGAGGCTTGTGGAGCAGAGCGGGCTGTGAGCTGGGGAGGGTCCCCGAGGCACCAGAGGAGAATGCAGCTTCCAGGACTGTTGCTCTGGGACTGATGCTTTACCCTCCCCCTGCTCTGATCTGCCGTCTGTCTCTGGCCTCTGCAGACTTCCTGGCCAGTCGCCTTGCTGGCTCACTTCCTGCTGGGTTCCTAACAGGAGAGACGTTAGCAAGAGGTGGACAAGTCAGAGGAAGGGAGAAGCCCGCTCCCCAGCATTGCCTCCTCTCTCCGCCGGCTCCTCCCCCCACCATGCAGGCCGTGGGTCCAGCTTCTTGTACCCCAGAGGGTCGGACCCCTGGGGCCGCCCTAGCCTCCTCTTGACTGTCTAGGTCGCCACATTCTTCCACCGGGACTTCTCAGATGCATCAAGTCCTCTCTGCTGTAAGAGCTTACAGGGATTTGTATTTATTCCCTACTGGGCTCTGACTGATGCAGGAGACACGTGCACTATCTAAGCATCAAAATGTGGTTTAGGCACAACTTTGCCTGGAAATGGACACTCAGGGATGCCCCATGATGCAGAACAGACACAGGCAAGGAGAAAGGACACATCCAGGGCCCCAGATGATGCCCCAGGAAGCCAACAAGCAAGCGAACCGAGTGCCCAAGAGGCTGAGCCTGCAGGTAAGGCTGACTGACTGCATCTGTGCGAGTGGAGGGTCCCTGGCTGGCGGCAGCGGAGTGGACGGATGTCTTTGAAAGGGAAAAATCACAGAGAGGCAGGCCTGGCGGCTGAGTACTGAGGAGAGAGGCCAGGAGGAAGCAAGTTAGAAAGGAGACCTTAGGTCGGCGCTATGGCTCAGTAGGCTAATACTCCGCCTTGCGGCGCCAGCACACCAGGTTCTAGTCCCGGTCGGGGCGCCGGATTCTGTCCCGGTTGCCCCTCTTCCAGGCCAGCTCTCTGCTGTGGCCAGGGAGTGCAGTGGAGGATGGCCCAAGTGCTTGGGCCCTGCACCCCATGGGAGACCAGGAGAAGCACCTGGCTCCTGCCTTCGGATCAGCGTGGTGCGCCGGCCGGAGGCCATTGGAGGGTGAACCAACGGCAAAGGAAGACCTTTCTCTCTGTCTCTCACACTGTCCACTCTGCCCGTCAAAAAAAAAAAAAAAAAAAAAGGAAGGAAGGAAGAAAGGAGACCCTGAGAGGCAAAGGCAGGGGAGAGGCAGAGCCTTCTAGGGGGAGGGGGAGGGCAGCGAGATCGGTTGCAAACACAGGGAAACAGCTGCACAGGCGGGGACAGCGCTGAGTGCAAACAGCAGGAGGAGGGAAAGGAAGTCTGAGCTCCAGCAGTGTGGAGATGGGAGACGCAAGGCTCTGCGGGGTCTCAGCCCTGCGGCTTTGCTCTTCAGAGCACTGACACTGGTGCAGCGAAGGACGACAATGCAAGGACCGAGACGCCCAGCCCCTTGCCTTGTGGTGAACCAAGTGTAATTGTGTTTTTTAAGATATATTTTATTTATTTGAAAGACAGAGTTACAGAGAAAGGTAGAGAGAGAGAGAGAGAGAGAGAGAGAGAGAGAGAAAGAGTCTTCCATCCACTGGTTCACTCTCCAGATGGTGCAATGGCTGGAGATGCACCCATCCAAAGCCAGGAGCCAGGAGCTTCTTCCAGGTCTCCCCACGCGGGTGTAGGGGCCCAAGCACTTGGCCCATCTTCTCCCAGGCCATAGCAGAGAGCTGCATTGAGAGTGGAGCAGCCGGAGGCCGGCGCCGCGGCTCACCAGGCTAATCCTCCGCGGAGCCGGCACACCGGGTTCTAGTCCCGGTGCCCCTCTTCCAGGCCAGCTCTCTGCTGTGGCCAGGGAGTGCAGTGGAGGATGGCCCCCAAGTGCTTGTGCCTTGCACCCTATGGGAGACCAGGAGAAGCACCTGGCTCCTGCCATCGGATCAGCATGGTGCGCCAGCCGCAGCGGCCATTGGGGGGTGAACCAACGGCAAAGGAAGACCTTTCTCTCTGTCTCTCTCTCTCACTGTCCACTCTGCCTGTCAAAAAAAAAAAAAAAAAAAGAGAGAGAGAGAGAGAGAGGAGCAGCTGGGACTTGAACTGGCACCTGTATGGGATGCTGGCACTGCGGGCGGCAGCTTTACCCACTACACCACAGTGTTCAGCCTCAAACAAAGCAATTATTACTTGCCTGACCAATTTCTATTGTTTTGGTCAGGTGTTCTATATTTTTTTGGTTCTTAGGTGTTTTTTTAAATACACTATTTTAAATTTACAAATAAAAGATTCTCTATACTTGTATTTATATCCTATATGATATTTTGAAATATGTATACATTGTAATATGGTTGAATTGAGCTAATTGGAAATATGCATCAGCTCATATACTTTTCATCTTTTGTGGTGAGAACAATTAAAATCTGTTCTCTTAGCAATTTTCAAGAATGCAGTATGGTTTTTTTGTTGTTGTTTTTTTGTTTTGTTTTGTTTTGTTTTGTTTTTGACAGGTAGAGTGGACAGTGAGAGAAACAGAGAGAAAGGTCTTCCTTTGCCATTGGTTCATCCTCCAATGGCCGCCGCGGCCGGTGTACCGCGCCTATCCGAAGGCTGGAGCCAGGTGCTTTTCCTGGTCTCCCATGGGGTGCAGGGCCCAAGCACCTGGGCCATCCTCCACTGCACTCCCTGGCCACAGCAGAGAGCTGGCCTGGAAGAGGGGCAACAGTGACAGAATCCGGCGCCCCGACCGGGACTAGAACCCGGTGTGCCGACGCCGCAAGGTGGAGGATTAGCCTACTGAGCCGCGGCGCCGGCCCAAGAATGCAGTATGTTGTTAACTCTCAGCACACGTGAGACCGTGTGATATTTCCCTTTCTGTGCCTGCCTTACTTCACTTAATACAGTGTCCCCTGGCTTCATCGGGTGATTTCGGGTTGAACAGTATTCCACGGTGGAGTGCCCTGTTTCCTCCAGTCCTTTGCCTGTTGATGGACACTTGGGAACAGTGAACGTGGGAGTGGGGACACCTGTGTACCACGTTGATTTCACATACTCTGGATTAAAATCTCACCTGGTAGTGAGATTGCTGCACCTTACGGAAGCTATATTTGTAATTTTGGGGACTCCCCGTGCTGTCTGCATAATGACTGAACTAATTTACTCCCAAACAGTGGTGTCCAGGGCTCCCTTTTCAGTACATCACGGCCAACGTTTGTCATCCTTTGTCTTTCTGATGACAGCCACTGCAGCAGGTGTGAAGTGAGCACTTGTGGTTTTTCTCTGCGCTTCCCTGATGAATCAGGACCCTGAGCGTTCTTTGTGCACCTGTTGGTCATTTGTAGATGTTCTTTTGCTCTGGTCCTTGGCCAATTTTCAATTAACTTTTATTGTTATTTTACTATTGGGTTGTTTGAGTTGCATACGTATTTTGGATATTAACCCTTTATCAGATACACGGTTTGCAAATATTTTCTCCCGTTCTGTAGATGGTCTCTTCACCCTGTCAATCATTTCCTTGGCGGTACGGTCTTTTTGGTTTGATACGGTCGGTCCCTCTTGCTTATTTTTGCTTCTGCTGATTGTATTTTGGGCATCACGTTAAAACCAAATCACTGCCAAGACCAGCGATACGGAGCTTCACCCCTACATTTTCTTCTCGGAGTTTCACGGTTTCAGGTCTCCCATCCCAGCCTGCGATGCGCTGTTAGCTGATTTTTCAGGTGTGGTTTAGGCTGAGGGTCCAGCGTCACGTGGATATCTACGCAGTCCAACGCCACTGTTGACAAGACTTTAGTCCCCATTGTTTGTTCCTGGCACCTTGGTTTTTGGTTGAAAAGCAGTTGATGATGCATGGGTCTGTTTATAGGCTCTATTCTGTTCCATCTGTCTATGTCTCTGAGTTTATGCCAGTGCCATACTGTTTTGATTATTATAGTTTTGTAGTATATTTTTGAAGTCAGATAGTATGATGCCTTCAGCTTTGTTCTTTTGGTGCACAATTGCCTTAGCCATGCAGTCTGTTGTGTTTTCATAAGAATTTTAGTATTGTTTTTCCTATTTCTGTAAACAATGTCATTGGAATTCTGAAGGAGATTGCATTGATTCTGTAGAGCATTTTGGGTGGTATAGGCGTTTCAATAATGTTAATCATTCAACTTCATGAACATGGAATATCTTGCCATTTCTTTTTGCCACTTTTGATTTCTTTTACCATTGTTTTATAATTTTCAGTGTGCACATCTTTCACTCTAAATTCATTCCTATGTGTTTTATTCTTTTTGGTGACTTTGTAAATGGAATTGTTTTCTTTATTTCTTTTCCAGACAGTTCCTGGGTGTAATGAAATACAATTGAGTTTTGTCTGTCGATCAATATCCTGCAAGTTTGCTGAATTCACTTATTACCTTGCATACTTTTTTGGTGGTGTCTTTAGGGTTTTCTATATATGAGATGATGGTGTCTGCAAGTTAGGATAATTAGACTCCTTTCTTTCCGATTTGGATGCCTGTGTTTCTTCCTCTGACCCAAATGCTGCGGCTAGAACTCCCAGGACCATATATGGAAATGATGGAAGTGGAACCGTTTTCTTGTTCCTGATCTTAGAGGAAACGCTTCCAGCTTCTCTGTTGAGTGTTGTTGGCCATGACTTTGCTACATATTCCCTTTATTGTGCGATGCACCTTCCTTCTAAACCCAATTCCAGGGAGGTTTGTCAGGAAAGGATATGGAATTTTGCTGAATGTTTTTTCTTGCATCCATGTGGGTTTTACAGTGATCATGTGGGTTTTGTCCTCTATTAATGTGTATTAATGTGTCTATTAATGTGGTATGTTACATAGATTCCATATGTTGAATGTTTTTAAAAATATTTTTGTATTTATTTGACAGATAGAGTTTGACAGAGAGTGAGAAAAGAGAAAGGTCTTCCATCCGCTGCTTCACTCCCCAAATGGCCACAACGGCCGGAGCTGGGCTGATCCGAAGCCAGGAGCCAGGAGTTTCTTCCAGGTCTCCCACCTGGGTGCAGGGGCCCATGCACTTGGGCCATCTTGTACTGCTTTCCCAGGCCACCAGCAGGGAGACGGATGGGAAGCGGAGGAGCAGCCGGGACACAAACCGATGCCCATATGGGATGCGGCTGCCGCCCTTTCTGTTGGTTTCCTGGTCTCTCCTGCATTTACTGCTGCTCTGTCCTTTAGTATGTCCTCCTCTGCCAACTCTGCTTCATTTGTCTTTTTATGGTTCCTGGGAGCGTAAGGCTAGACTGACATCTCTTCTTTTTTGATGCAGATATTTATTGCTAGAAAGTTCCTCTTAGTGTTGCTTTTGCTGCAGTCCATAGTTTTGGGGTGTTGTATTTCCATTTTCATTTGTTTCAAGATTTAAAAATGTTGGCTGGCGCCGTGGCTCACTAGGCTAATCCTCCACCTTGCGGCGCCGGCATACCAGGTTCTAGTCCCAGTCAGGGCGCTGGATTCTGTCCCGGTTGCCCCTCTTCCAGGCCAGCTCTCTGCTGTGGCCAGGGAGTGCAGTGGAGGATGGCCCAAGTACTTGGGCCCTGCACCCCATGGGAGACCAGGAGAAGCACCTGGCTCCTGCCATCGGATCAGCGCGGTGCACCGGCCACAGCGCGCCGGCCGCGGCGGCCATTGGAGGGTGAACCAACGGCAAAGGAAGACCTTTGTCTCTGTCTCTCTCTCTCACTGTCCACTCTGCCTGTCAAAAAAAAAAAATGTTTTCCTTTTAATTTTTTCAGTGAGACATTGGCTGTTCCAGAGTACCTTTTTAGAAAGCACAGTCACTCCCACCCCCACAGTGAAGTGCCAGGCGCGCCCTTACCCACCCGGTCCTGTGACCCCTCGGGTTCGGTCAGTCTCTCCACATCCTCTCTGTGGCTCAGGCAGCATCCAAGATCTGCTGATTCCGAGATGCACCCCTCTGGCCCAGACTTGCCTTCTGGGCTGATTGCTCAGAGCGGCTGAAGACTCTTATTCAAATGGCACCTCTGTTTGGGCAGCAGTCAGTTACCTGTTGCATGTAATATAACAAACCACACCAAAACGTGGAGGCTTCAAACAGTCATCATTTTCTTTGCCATTTTTGTCCATTCCTACTTTTTAAAATATTTATTTAAGGCAGAGTTACAGAAAGTCAGAGGCAGAGAGAGAGAGAGAGGTCTTCTGTCTGCTGGTTCACTCTCCAAATGGATTGCAATGGCTGGAGCTGGGCCAATCTGAAATCAGGAGCCAGGGACTTCCTCCGGGTCTCTCATGCAGGTTCAGGGGCCCAAGCACTTGAGCTGTCTCCCACTGCCTTCCTAGACCATAGCAGAGAGCTGGATGGGAAGTGGAGCAGCTGTCCATCCCTATTAAAACACCTCCGCCTGTCCACGGCTCTGCATCCCTAGCCCAGTCACCCTAGCCCAGAGCCCCAGCTCTCTCACTTCCGTGGAGGACGAGTCTCCTGTCTGGTGTCTCTCTGGCCTCTTCCCTGCAGTGTTGCTCTCCTCAACCTGTTCCCGCACTTCGCTGAATGAGCCTGTCCAGCAAGCAGCCCAGCTCGTATGGTTTCCCTCCTGTGGCCTCCAGCAGCAGGTGGCTGTGGCTGTGCCCACCTCATAGTCTCATACTCCCCGTCTCTCGCCGCTCACTCCTTCATGCCAAAATTCCTTTAGTCATCTGAATTTGCCAAGCTCCCTCTCTTACATCTCAGTCTTTACATAATGCTTTTGGAAAGTAGTTCAGTGTCATCTTCCCAAATTAAAAAACACACATACCCTTGAATTCAGCAATTACATTCCTCAGCAGAAACCAGTAGAAATGAATATCATGTTCATCACACAGAAAACACATGGAAAAGAATGTTATTAGCAGCGTGGTTCCTAAAAACCAAACACAGGGGCTGGCCCTGTGGCATAGTGGGTAAAGCTTCTGCCTACAGTGCCAGCATCCCATATAGGTACCGGCTGCTCCACTTCCAATCCAGCTCTCTGCTATGGCCTGGGAAAGCAGTGGAAGATGGCTCAAGTCCTTGGGCCCCTGCACCCACGTGGAGGACCTGGAGGAAGCTCCTGGTTCCTGGCTTCAGATTGGCCCAGCTCTGGCTGTTGCGGCCATCTGGGTAGTGAACCAGAGGATGGAAGGTGTTTTTCTCTCTGCCTCTGCCTCTCTGTAACTCTTCCTTTCAGATAAATAAATAAATCTTTTTAAAAAAGCACAAATAGGTAAATATTTTATATTGATGTGTATAATGGAATAATATATAGCAGTGAAAAAATATACAAAATGAATATAAATAGATCTCAGAAACATACTGAATAATATATATGTGTATGAGTTGGATTCTCTTGGGACTAAGTATTCTCTTGGGACTATATATCTAAATGTTAAGAGAGCATGATTCCTTTTATATAGATTGCATTAAAAGGCAAAATTAATCTCGGTGTTGGAAGTCAAGAGGGGGCGTGACTTTGAGCAAGGTGGTGGGAACAGTTAGTGGGAGAAGTCAGCAGGTGGCTTCTAGTGTTGATGATCTGTGTCTTGACCAAAGCAATATGCTTGCTGTGTGACCATTTAAAACCCCATGTTATTTTGTGTGCTATATTGCAAATTTAATTTTATTACAAGAGAGGGGAAAATACCCATTGAATGTGAGAATAAAAAGAACAAGGGAAAAAGAATAGAGAGTCAAGAGGGACACAAAGGAAGGGGCAGAGGGGCAGAGAGGAAGAAGAAGGGCGAGGAGGAGGGGAAACTTCATCCCCAGTGGTGAAACTGCAGAAGAGAAAATTCCTGGGGTGGTGAAAGGGGCCCCGGAGAGGCAGATCAAAGTCCCTCGTTGTTGTTTGGCCCAGGTTCAAAGCCACCCAGCCAAGGGATCAAAGTTAACTCCTGTTCTGTGCTTCTGGTGGACATCAAGAAGGAGAAGCCATTTTTTAATTCAGAAGTTGAGGAACGAGCCCAAGCAAGGACAAACTGCAAGCAGCCATCTGACGTCATAGGTGAGCAGGGGGGAGCTGGGCTGCGGCTGCTAGGGGAGGGGCCGTCACCTGTCTGGGCTGAAGGGAGCCTCCAGTTTAACAGAAGGAAGTCCTTAGGAATGGAGAACTGCAGAAGGACAGAAATGGAGGCCCTGAGTACTGACTTCACAGAGACCATCTCTAAAGCGAGGGGCTAGGAGCTAAAGTAACAGGAAAAACTATCAGGAAACAAACATATTCACAGATGAAGATGGAGAAGGAAGCAGCATCAAGACAAGGAGGTGTAGGGGCACCATTGCCAGAACAGAATCAGAAACAGGGAAGTGGGCAGAACCACGAGGAAAGTTAGAAGTGAAGGAGAAGTGTGAGGTGGGGAAAGATACAGAGGGTGGAGGTGAGAATGCTGGGGGGATGGGCAAAGCTGCCCCCTCTGCACCAGTCTGAGCAGCTTTTGGAACCACCTGAGAACCCCACACATTCCAGGAATAAACCAGGGCCCTGAGTCCACCCAGCTTCCCAGGGCTCCCCAGGGCCCTGCTGATGGGATTTCCTGCCACACAGGCTCCATGGCCACCTCCTGAGACTTTAGGGGTTTTGTTCCTTTATGCAGTCATCAGTAGCGAGGACTCTGAAGATCCCAGTGATGGAGAGGAGCCCCCGAAAGCCTCCACCTCAGCACTGAGAGGTGAGTCTCGTAAGAGCAAAGCTTGGGGGTGGGAATCGGAATTAAGAGCTACATTTCCTTATGCATTTTTTCTGAGTCCATTCTGTATGATGAATCCAGCTTATCCTAGGATCCTGTTACATGCATCTATTCTACTTGATCCATTTTGGAAATGGGAGGAATACAAGTCATGATAAAACAAAAAAAAATCATGATAAACTTATTTTTGAGAGTTGGACCCTCCTTTCCATGTATATAGAAATAGGCTAGCTGCATGAACTTTCTCTAGGATAGACCACATGCTAGGCCATAAAGCAAGTCTCAGCAAATTCAAAAAAATCAAAATCATACCATGCATTGTCTCTGACTACAATGGAATGAAGAGAGAAATGAACACTCAGGAATCTCTAGAACATATACAAACACATGGAGACTGAACAACATGCTCGAATGAACAGTGGGTCATTGACAAAATCAAAAGAGAAATCAAAAAATTTCTGGAAACAAATGAAGATGACAGTGCAATATATCAAAACTTTTGAGGCGGGCGCTGCGGCTCACTACGTTAATCCTCTGCCTTGCGGTGCAGGCACACCTGGTTCTAGTCCTGGTCAGGGCGCTGGATTCTGTCCCGGTTGCCCCTCTTCCAGGCCAGCTCTCTGCTGTGGCCCGGGAGTGCAGTGGGGGATGGCCCAAGTACCTGGCTCCTGCCATCGGACCAGCACGGTGCGCCGGCCGCAGTGCGCTGGCCGCGGCAGCCATTGGAGGGTGAACCAATGGCAAAGGAAGATCTTTCTCTCTGTCTCTCTCTCTTTCACTGTCCACTCTGCCTGTCCAAAAAACAAACAAACAAACAAACAAACAAACTTTTGGGATACAGCAAAAGCAGTGTTAAGAGGAAAGTTTATAGCAATCAGTGCCTACATCAGGAAATTGGAAAGGCACCAAAGAAATGAGCTATCAGAGCATCTCAGGACCTAGAAAAACAACAGCAAACCAAACCCAAAACTAGTAGAAGAAAAGAAATAATTAAAATTAGAGAAGAAATCAGCAAAATTGAGCTGGTTTTTTGAAAAAATAAAATTGACCCACCATTGTCCCAACTAACCAAAAAAAAAAAAAAAAAAAAGGTGGAGAAGACCAAAATCAATAAAATTAAAGATGAAAAAGGAAATGTAACAACAGACACCACAGAAATAAAAAGAATCATCAGAAAATACTACAAAGAACTGTTTGCCTACAAATCAGGAAACCCAGAAGAAACAGATTCCTGGACACATACAACCTACCTAAATTGAGCCATAAAGACATAGAAAACCTTAAAAGTTAAATAATCAAGACAGAAATTGAATCAGTAATAAAGATCGTCCCAACAGAAAAAAAGCCCAAGACCAGATGGCTTCACTGCTGAATTCTACCAGACATTTAAAGAACTAACTCCAATTCTTCTCAAGCCATTCAAAACAATTCAAAGGGAGGGATTCTCCCAAACTCCTGCTATGAAGCCAACATCACCTTAATTCCTAAACCTGAAAAAAATACAACAGAGAAAGAAAACTACAGATCAATTTCCCTGATGAATACAGATGCAAAAATCCTCAACAAAATACTAACCAATAGAATCCAACAACACATCAGAAAGATCATTCACCTGAACCAAGTAGGATTTATCCCTGGTATGCAGATATGGTTCAACATTTGCAAATCAACCATTGTGATACATCACATTAACAAACTGAAGAACAAAAACCGTATGATTATGTCAATAGATTCAGAGAAAACATTTGATAAAATACAACACCCTTTCATGATGAAAACTCTAAGCAAATTGGGTATAGAAGGAACATTCCTTAACACTGTCAAGGCAACTTATGACAAATCCACGGCCAGCATCCTATTGAATGGGGACATGTTGGAAGTATTCCCACTGAGATCCAAGATCAGAAAAAGATCCCCACTCTCACCATTGCCATTCAATATAGTCCTGGAAGTTTTAGCCGGAAACATTGGGCAAGAAAAAGAAATCAAAGGGATACAAATTGGGAAGGAGAAATCAAACTATCCCTATTTGCAGATGATATGATTCTATGATTAGGGGAGCCAGAAGACTCCACTAAGAGAGTATTGGATCTCATAGAAGTGGCAGGGTATAAAATCAACACACAGGCCAGCGCCGCTGCTCACTAGGCTAATCCTCCGCCTTGCGGCGCTGGCACACTGGGTTCTAGTCCTGGTCGGGGTGCCAGATTCTGTCCTGGTTGCCCCTCTTCCAGGCCAGCTCTCTGCTGTGGCCCGGGAGTGCAGTGGAGGATGGCCCAAGTGCTTGGGCCCTGCACCTGCTTGGGAGACCAGGCTCCTGCCATCGGATCAGCGCGGCGCGCCGGCTGCAGCGTGCCAGCCGCGGCAGCCGTTGGAGGGTGAGCCAACAGCAAAGGAAGACCTTTCTCTCTGTCTCTCTCTCTCTCACTGTCCACTCTGCCTGTCCAAAAAAAAAAAAATCAACACACAAAAATCAGTAGCCTGTGTATGCACAGACAATGCCATGGCTGAGAAAGAATTTCTAAGTTCAATACCATTCATAATAGCTACAAAAAGAAAATCAAGGGGCCAGTGCTGTGGCATAGCAGGGAAAGGCGCCACCTGCAGCAGCAGCATCCCATATGGGCGCTATTCAAGTCCCAACTGCTCCACTTCTCATCCAGCTCTCTGCTTGGCCTGAGAAAGCAGTAGAAGATGGCTAAAGTCCTTGGGCCCCTGCACCCATGAGGGAGACCTGGAGGAAACTGTTGGCTCCTGGCTTCAGATCAGTACAGCTCTGGCTGTTGTGGCCATCTGGGAAGTGAACCAGCAGATGGAAGACCTCTCTCTCTCTCTCTGCCTCTGCCTCTCTGTAACTCTGCCTTTCAAATAAATAAATAAATAAAAATCAAACACCTTGGAATAAATTCAACCACTGATGTCAAAGATCTCTATGATGAGAATTACAAAACATTAAAGAAAGAAATAGAAGATACAAAAATATGGAAAAATTTTCCATGTTCATGGATTGGAATTATCAGTATCATCAAAATGTCCATACTACCAAAATCAATTTACAGATTCAATGTGGTATTCATCAAAATAACAGATATTCTTCTCAGACCTGGAATAAAGTCTGAAATTCTAGAAAAAATGCTGAAATTCATATGGAAACACAGGAGTCCCCAGATAGCTAAAGCAATCTTATAGAACAAAAACAAAGCTGGAGGCACTACAATAGCAGATTTCAAGACATACTACAGGGCAGTTATAATCAAAAAAGCCTGGTGCTGGTACAAAAACAGATGTATAGACCAATGGAACAGAACAGAAATACCAGAAATCAATCCAAGCATCTATAACCAACTTACCTTTAACAAAGGGGTTAAAACCAATCCCTGGAGCAAGGACAGTCTCTTCAACAAATGTTGCTGGGAAAACCTGATCTCCACATGCAGAAGTATGAAGCAAGATCCCTACTTTAACCTTACACAAAAGTCCACTCAAAATGGATCAAAGGACTGAATCTACTGCCTGATAATATCAAATTGTTAGAGAACATTGGGGAAATGCAAATGTCAATGTAAGACATTGGCATAGGCAAGGAATTCTTGGAAAACACCCTAGAGGCACAGGCAACCAAAGCCAAAATTGACAGAATCACATCAAATTGAGAAGCTTATGCACTGCAAAGGAACACTCAGGAAAATGAAGAGGCACCTGATAGAATGGGAGAAATTATTTGCAAGTGATGCAACTGATAAAGGATTAATAACCAGAATATATAAAGAGATCAAGAAACTCAACAAAACAAACAACCTAGTTAAGAAATGAGCAAAGGACTTAAACAGGCATTTTTAAAAAGAAGAAATCCAAATGGCCAATAGACACATGAAAAAATGCTCAGGATCATTAGCCATCAGGGAACTGCAAATCAAAACCACAGTGAGGTTTCACCTCACTCCAGTTAGAATGGCTTTCATACAGCAACCAACAAACAAAAAATGCTGGTGAGGATGTGGGAGAAAAGTTACACTAATCCACTGTTGGTGGGAATGTAAACTGGCACAGCCACTATAGAAGACAGTATGGAGATACTTCAGAAATCTAAATATAACCTACCATATGACCAGCCATCCCACTCCTGGGAATTTACCCAAGGAACATGTTCTAAGTTGTACTTATGAAATGCATGAGTTTGTATTCCTTAAATAAAAGGTTTCTGGGGGTACAAAAAGAAATAGGCTAGCAAAATGATGAGTTTTTCTTTAAAACTAATTTCTCTGTAAAGTTTTAAATATGCACAGTGATTTCTGTAGAGAATAGAAGGCTCAATGTTCCTTTGTTGGAAGGTCTTATTGTCATCTGATCACAAGCTTTGAATACTGGCAAAAGAGAACTCATCCAGCATCTAATGTTAGCAGCTATGAAGACCTGAGATCAAGTACTCTGGGACCTGAAGTAGTTGACAGTTATTCCACGAGCCACAGCATATATAGTGATTTGTCAAAAAACTTTCATAAATAATATTTCATTGTTCTCTTTGCATCAACTTTAAAGGATAAGAGGGACACACACTCTCATCTTTATTTCTTAGATGATAAAAATGCATTCATACAAATGTTATGATGTCTTCTCCACAATACCGTGGAGCAAATAAAGGAAAGACAAGACCAGCACCCTGGATTCTGAGTTGTTTGCTGTGTAAAATGAGAGAGAGAAACAGTGGTCACAGTATGGTGTTATCTCAGCCCTGGCTACAGCAGGAGGTGGGGTGAGATTTGTGACTCCTTTGTTGCTTTCTAGACCCCGAAGATTTTAGAAACACACTAGGGAAAGACATGAAAATGTTCCCTGGTCCTGAGGTTACTAAAGAACATTATAACTTCTAGGATACAACTGTATGCATTTAACCTTTGTAGTCGCTTGGGAACTGGAAGGTATCAGGAAGGCACTGCTTAACTGGATGAATCCAGTTGGGTTAATACATTGAAAATGCGGCAAAACGTGCAGCAAATGGTTGTGGAGTATTCAGTGGCCCCCTAGCTGGGTTTATCCCAACTTCTTGTCTCTGCATAAGAGAAGAGTTTAAAGGAGAGACACGGATATAAGTGCAAGAATAGGAGCAGGATTTATTTCAAGAGATATTACACATTCAGAATTCAGAGGTGAGAGTGTAGCAGAAACGAGATCCACCCTGGTTCAGTAGACCTGTTTATTGGGTAAGCGGGTGGTACTCTGCTTATACAGACGAGGTGGAGTTGAGTGTGTGTGTGTGTGTGTGAGAGAGAGAGAGACAGAGAGACAGAGAGACAGAGAGAGAGAGGGACAATCTCTGGGAAGGATTCACAGTGTCTCCATGTGGCGCCCAGTATACAGATGTTCATTGTGCTGTCTTCTTTGTAATGGAGGGGGCTCAGGTGCATCATGGGAAAGCAGGTGTACTGATCGGGCCTGGAAGGTGGTGGAGTGTTTTAGTTTTTGTTTTGTTTTGTTGTTTTAACAATGCAGGACTAAGGCACGGAGGCTGCTGGAAAGCTCTCAGCTTTCAGCTCACTGACTCGCTGCCCGTGGCGTGTCAGATGATCGTCTCTTCTGCTGCACGTGGTCATATCTGTTAATGCTGTTAGGTGAAATAATCTAACTACTCCCATCACCACACCTTACAGTTTATAAAGCATATTAACAGTGTTCCACTAAGTACTGATGATATTGTCAGTAATCACAAGGTTAAAAAGGCATCAAAGAATGATTTTTGTTGTTATTTAATTATTAATGATAAAATGACTTCAGATCAACTACATCCAAGTCCATATTATGGGTTAACCATTGCCTTATATTGTGATTTTTTTTTGAATAGTGCTTTCATAAGTAAAACTTCATTTTGTCATCTCTAAAACCTTAACAAGGAAGTCGGGTAGCCAAGTTATCCTGGCTTTAGGGATGAGAAAACTTAAGCTGGTGACTGTTGAGGATCACTGACAAATGTACATAGGAAATAAGAGGGAGAGTGGGGTAGGGCCCCAGAATCATGTCCTTGGGTCTACAGGACTGGATTCAGTGGAAGTGTGGGTGTGGACAGGTGCCTCAAGCCTCAGACAATTACATTGACTCACAGGAACAGCAAGTAAGTGTAGGCAGCAAAGACGTATTAAAGCAAGCGGAGCACACTTCATAAGGACAGTGGAAGCTGGCCTCTGGGAGGCACTCGGCTCAGAGTCTCAGGACGACGCAGCTCCGAGCCTCCTCCCAGGACCACAAAGCCAAAGTACGTTCCATAAGACTGCAGGAGCGGGCCGCCGACAGGGTTGGGCCCTGAGTTTCAGTGGACCGTTCATTTCTAGCCCAGCTTCTAGAGAGGTGAGGGGGAGTCATTGCCAGGGAGGCTCTTGCATGAAGTCCTGGGTGGAGGGATGCTGTGAACCTGAGCTGCGAGAGGTCACTGGGGACTCAGCCGGGGTTGTCTGGCACCACGCCCCACGTATTTCTCAGGTTAGCTGTAGCCGCTCCCTCCCTGGGCTTGGCCTGGATTTGTCTTTATCTCATCCATGGCAGTAGGCTGTCTTTGAGCTAGCTGATTGCTAGCTTGCTTTTTCCCTTGTTTATTTATTTATTTATTTGAAGGTCAGAGATATAGAGTAGGAGAGACAGAGGCAGAGAGAGAGAGATCTTCCATCCGCTGGTTCACTTCCCAAATGGCTGCCACAGCCAGGGCTGGGCTTGGCCAAAGCCAGGAGCTAGGAGCTTCATCTGGGCCTCCAATGTGAGTACAGGGGCCCAAGGACTTGGGTCGTCTTCTACTGCTTTCCCAGGCCATAGCAGAGAGCTGGAGCAGAAGTGAATCAGTCAGGACTTGAACCAGTACCCATATGGGATGCTGGCACTGTAGGAGGCAGCTTTACCACTAATGCCACAGCGCCAGCCCCATAGAGCTAGCTGCTTCCTAAACTGGCATTTTAAGCGGGTAAACAGGAAATGTTCATTTAAGCAACTAAAAACAGTTTCAGCTTTTGTTTTTGAATTTTTCTGCATTTTCCTTTTTCTTGCTGTTTTCCTTAGAACCTAGCCGTCTCCTGCCTCAGAAAGAAAGAGGAAAAATTCTCATCACAGTTTCATTATGATCACAAGCCTGTTTGCGTGTGAACTGTCACAGACTCTGTCTTCTGTATCCAAATAATGATTTTCTGCCTTTTGCTTCCAGAGCCCACGGATTTCAGAAAATCATCTCCAATTAGGAAAAGCCTTACGAAAAGAGGTTAGAGAAAAATAAGACTTCTTCACGGTTATCAACAAACAGCTTTTTTTTTTTTTTTCTACAGGAGGTTTATTCCATTCTTTACTATTGCCTTCAAAGCAAAACACAAGTTTGTTTTCATCTGGGTGGTTCCTATGTAGCTGATGTATTAGTGGTAGGGTTGTTATACCCAAAGCGAGTCACAGAACAGCACCACACACTGAGAATTTGGAAGGAGTCCTTTATGAGCCGGTGGCCGGTGGCCGGTGGCCGGTGGCCGGTGGCCGAGAGCAGCTCACGCTTCAAGGTCTCTCCACCCGAGTAGAAGCAAAGATTGGGCTTTGAAAGCTGTAAACCAGTCACACTGAGAGAGGGACAAATGGGAACAAGGATCAAGGGGTTAACATTTGGCCGTGATCGTTGTCATACGTTGATTTGCACATGCAGACTGTGCTGTTAAACAGGATGTGGCAAATCAACCCAAAGTCTCAAAATTTGAGAATTTCCAGAAGTCCCCGGCCTGCTGTCACGGGGGTCAGAAACAGCAGATGCACCTGCAGCCATCGTGGAGTCCCCTGGAGCTAACCCGGCGTTCCGAGCCCCACACTTGAGGCTCACTGCTATAGCACATGACCCCAAAGAAGCCAGTGACTCCAATACAACCCAGGTTTCACTGGTTTCTCAAGTAAACAGTCCAGGGGTTTTTCAGACACGGAGAAGATGGGGCCCCGTCTGCAGCAGACTCAGGGAACCAGCGGGTTGAAGGTCTGCCTTCTCCAATCCAGGCTTCTCTGGTTGCCCTGAGAGAGAAGCAAAGCTGTAAGTCAGTGCAAAGACAGGCCCGAACCAACACAGGCACGGAAGACAGACGATGTAGCAGAAGACGCAAGAGGCTGAGACAAAGCAGAGACGCCCACTGGGGATGGCATCTCAGCTTCCGGCTCAGGTGACGACAGGCATAACGGTCCACTGGCTTAGGTGTGAAGACTGGATCTGAGAGGCAGGTGGTGGAGGCCTGGGGCCGAGCCCTTCTTGCTGTAGAGTTTCAGAACTTCCCAGGCATTTCTTAGTGCCCTTTGCTGTAGAACATCCCCAAAACGGGTTGGAGCTGCTGCAGCACCCCTGAACTGGATCCAGCCCGCCGCCCAGCAGCACCACTGCGATGGAAAGAAGCAGGTGTTTAGTGCGAAGCCCAGAGCAAGGAGCCGGGCAGCCATGGCTGAATTCCCAGGTTCCCTGCGGGAGTAAAGACAATGAGTGTTAGAGTTAGAAGCTGGGGACCAGCAGGGAGTGATCAGCCCGTGTGTGGGTCTCTGCTTGGTCCCCAGCACTGGGGGGCCTTGCTTTGATTGGTCAGCGACAGGGGACTGGCGTGGCCTTCTGAAGATGTTGGGATGCTAGGTGGGCTCCCGGGCCTGTAGCTGGTTATTGCCTGGTTGTAAACAGGGCTTGATGTTCCGACAAGCATCTCCTCTGGAGTCTAACAGCAGGGCGTTAGCTACAGGGACGGTAAGTGAGCCTGCAGGGCTGGCCATGGCTGGAGGCGGGCATGGCAATGCTAACCGCAAGGGCAGGTGTGTGGCTCCGTTACTCAGTGAGCCGGCCTCTACAGAGGAACCTAGGCTGAGGAGGAGGTAACATCCCCATCCAGGCCACCCGGGCGGGGCTCAGTCACACTTTGAATAGAACGCTCTCCTGTCTCGGGTCTCTTGTTGTCCTACACTGAGGCCCCAAGGGAACCTGTGTTCCTTTCTGCAGTGAGAAGACAGGACCAGGACTCTTCAGGATCCAGTGAGGACGAGCCTTGCCCAGTCTCCTGGATCTTGGGGCAGAAAGCTGAGCTGGGGAAGGAAGGTAAGGACTGCCCAGGGTCGCAGGGCCTCGGGAGCCCCAGACCAGAGCTCCGCTTTCCTCCGGCGTGGAGGGCTGAGCACAGCCATGGCCTTGTTAAACCTGGGGGTTCTCTGGATTTTCCCCTTCGGGCCGCATTGGAAAATACAAAGAAGAAAATTGTTACGAGTTTGGGCTTAGCAAGAGGGCCGCAGCCGAAGAGCAGTGGCCTTTGCATGCTACCCCACCGGTCCTGTGACCCCCAGAGAACTGGGTCTCTGTCTGCCTGTAGCCTCTCTTTCTTCTTTCATTTTTTTTAACTTAAAATCCCGCAACCACTGTTTATTATAGAGTGATCCCTGATTGGGGTGATGGGCTTATCGGTAGGATTTCTGGTAGTGAGCATGCACACCAGGGCCTCCAAACTTTCTGGACGGGGGCGGGGCGGGGCGGGGGGGGGGGGGAGGTTAGCTACCAGCAGGGGGCGGTCATACTGGCTGAGGATGTCTTTGATCTCCTTCCTGGAAGCCTCATCCGCATATTTCTGGTGATAGGCCACCAGGGCTATGTAGTGGACTGGCAGATAGCATACATCCGAGCGTCCTGCCCACCACCCTTCACTCGGACACGGATGTCCAGGCCAGCAAACCATTCCTTGCTGCACAGCTTGTACTGCGGTGGGTGTGGCTTGATCATCTCCAGGGGCCTCCGTTCAGCCTGATAAGCCCCCATTGCCCAGTTTGCAGTGCACCGCGGCGGTAGCTGCCTCCTTCCGTCCGAAGACCTGAACAGACTGTAGTGGGCCCTTGGACGGCCTGGCTGCGGCCGTACTACAGAGCCTCACCCATCCTCTGTTTCATAAAAAAGAGAAAGCAGGCCAATATGCTGTTGCCTGATTTTGTTACAGATCGATGCAAAACTCAGAGGGGCCTGGTCATACTCTCTAATTATTGACAGAAAGAAAAGCTTCAGTTGTTACCATCAAATCCCGTGGCTCAGTTTTGACATGTACCTGCAACGTGACATTGGCCACGTGGTGATGTTGAAATTATCTTGGCAAATAAAATCCTCGTTCATCCTCACAACAACGTGAGAGGCAGGCATGCTAACAGTTGATCCCCCCTTTCTGCAGGCAGGGCGCCCAGCACATAAACATGTCAGGATCTTCCACACATCACACACAGTCAGTTAGGACAAGGGGCAAGACTGACCTCGCTTCCTCCCAAACACCCATAATCCTTTATACCAAAGTCCCTGGAGCCAGGTGTATCTTGGAATTGTAAAGGGTTTATAATTTTAGATGGCGTGGTTTAGATTGTATCTGGCCAGATCCCATCCTCCAATACTCTGTATCCGCATGCCTTCAGCAAGCTGTGTGGATTTTCACACCAAGTGTGGTGAGATCATACCTGGAGTCCTGGCAGCTCACCTCCAGACTCTCAGCTAACTTAGTTAACTAACTGCAGACCCAGGCAAACAGCCTGCTTTTCAAACCATCTTTGACTTTGTAACTCAAGTTAAAGGGGTGAGGCTCTCTGCTCTGCTTGGTAGTGGTCGTATTCCTTAGATGGGAGGGAGAGAAATGATTGCTGTCGAGTCTTTGTGGTCTGAATCCTGCCTTCGGTGTAAGCAGCAGTAAGATATATAAACTTTCACTTTCCAGCTCCTGTGACTATTGGAACCACATCTACTTGGTGGAATCACAACCAGAAAAGACGTAAGAGCAATTAAAACTCTTGATGTAACAAATATCTTTCTTTTTTAATATTTATTTATTTTATTTGAAAGGCTGAGTTACAGAGAGGCAGAGCGAGAGGGAGAGAGAGGTCTTCCATCCACTGGTTCACTCCCCAAATGGCCCAATGGCTGGAGCTGGGCCAATCTGAAGCCAGGAGCTTGAAACCAGGTCCCCAACATGGGTGCAGGGGCCCAAGCACCTGGGTCATCTCCCACTGCTTTCCCAGGCCATAGCAGAGAGCTGGATCAGAAGTGCAGCAGCTGGGACTCGAACAGCCACCCATATGGGACACCAGCACTGCAGGCGGTGGCTTTACCCACTACACCACAGCACCGGCCCCTCAAATACCTTTCTTTGTTACTAAAACTTCATTCCATTTTTCATCATATTCTTTAAAATAAATGAATGTGTTGGCATTTTAGATGATTCTAGATTGTGTATTTTGAATTAGGTAAGTTGGGCTAATTGGTGTTGCACGCGGGCCTCAAATATTCAGAGGCACAAGTGCAGTATGAGGTTATTCTTGGCTCACGTGACTAAGATAAAGCAGTTCCTAGAAAGAAGGCCCTGCACTCCACAGTCGCCGAGGCCTGGCTGGTGGAAGCTCTGACTTCTTTTTTTTTTTTTTTTTATCTTATCTGACAGGCAGAGTGGACAGTGAGAGAGAGAGACAGAGAGAAAGGTCTTCCTTTGCCGTTGGTTCACCCTCCAATGGCCGCCGCGGCCGGCGCACTGCGGCCGGCGCACCGCGCTGATCCGATGGCAGGAGCCAGGAGCCAGGTGCTTCTCCTGGTCTCCCATGGGGTGCAGGGCCCAAGCACCTGGGCCATCCTCCACTGCACTCCCTGGCCACAGCAGAGAGCTGGCCTGGAAGAGGGGCAACCGGGACAGAATCCGGCGCCCCGACCGGGACTAGAACCCGGTGTGCCGGCGCCGCTAGGCGGAGGATTAGCCTAGTGAGCCACGGCGCCGCCTAGCTCTGACTTCTTTAAAATTTCGGTGCCATGGTCTCTGGGGTAGAAACAGAGGTAGAAGCAGGAGGGGAGTGTGCAAAGAAGCAGAAATAAAAAAATTAAAATAAAAAAGAAACGGTGACAAAAGGGAGTGCCTACTGTGGCCAAGCTGGCCTCAGTCCCAGCCTTGGGGGCGGTTCCTGGAACAACCTTGACCCACAGGCCAGGGGAAGCCAGAGGACGGCCTGGGGGTGGCACTAGCCCCGCCCCTCTGGCACCTTCCCTGCTGCACTCTTTCCTTTGAAGAATTCCCTGCGTGGCGGTGAGACCCAGGCCAGGCTTCCTAAGGAATTGTGTGTCTTTCTGCAGGGCCTGGGAGCGGAGGCTCTTCCACGCTGAGCAGTGGGGAGGAGCCCCAGGAAGCCGCCAGCTCAGCCCTCCCAAGTGGGTCAGGTAAAGAAGATTAAGATGCCAAGCCCTGGCCACAGATGTCAGAACTCTGGATTGAAAACCACTGTTTCCAGATGTATTTTATTCTCATCACCTTGACTGTCTTGCATCCCATTACTCCCGGAAACCCCTTTTCAACACTTTAAAAAATGGAAGGAGGCAGGGAATTATTACGAATTCACATTCACTGGGATGAGTCCTGTTGGCTAAAAGTGATGATGTTTCTGCTGTGGACAAAATAAATAGCAAAATGACGGTGTCTTGTTTAATACCCACTGTCACACCTACTGCTGATAGTTAGATTTCTGTTGTGATACGTTGGTTGACAACCAACAAGTCTCATAAGACGACTGGTCTGGCTATGAAATTATACACAGAAATAAAAGCTTCAATCACTCTCCAACTTTAGTTTTTGTTAGATACCCACCCCCGTATCATCTGATCACATAGTGTTACTTAGTGAACTTTGACAAATCAGAGCTGCTTCTGTCATTACAAAACCTAGAAGACTTAGGCAGGCTAACTCTTGCTGTCCTCATTTTGGGATGAGGACATAGCTGTACAAATATACGAGGGTCAAAGAAACTAAAGGAACAGCAGGGACCAACAGCCCAGGTGTCTCACAGCAGGTGACTCTCCTTTCTACCAGGCAAGAGGATAAGAGCTGTGTCAGATGATGGCAATCCCAAGATGGGGGACAAGGAACCCAGGACATTGACTGGGAAGTGGATCAGTGCCCAGTGCAAGAAAGAAACACAGCACACACACACGCACACACACACACGAATGTACATATACAACCCCAAGTGGGGGGGATTACAGGGAGAATGAGAGGGTACAAGTGGAACCAGCTCCTTGGTGTGCAAAGTATGCAGAAGGGTAGATTCAGAAAGAGGATGAACAGAGAAATAAAGGGCAGCAGATCAAATCATCTTTGATGAAAAGGGGGAAACGTAACACAGGCAACAAGAAAAATCAGGGAGACAGAAGCTCCCAGAATCAGAGAGAGAGACAGGGAAACGGGCAGAAAAGGGAGGCAGAGAAGGAGGCGTGGCCAGATGGGAGGAGAGGGCCAATCTCTGTTGGACTCCAGGTGTAGGCTTTGGGGCAGCTGCATTTGTTTTTCTCAGCTCTATTGAGCTCTGAACAGAAGTCAGGCTGGTGGCGGTGGAGTGTGTCCCCTGCCACCCACTGGAGTCTGTCACTTCCTTCCTTCTCATCACGTCCAGAGCCCTTCAGAGCCTTACCCAGATGATTTGCAAAGAGCAGGAGAGAGGAGAGATACACACAGACCCTGGCTGCTTTCTGCAGGTTTGGGGAAGCCCAAATGGAAAAAAGAGCTGAGCTCCGCGATGCAGGGAGGGGACGCTGTGCTGACAGCGTGCGGAGAACGCAAAACGTGGCTGCGGTCGCCTCTGGAGAAGATACCTGAGTGCATTTCAAGTTTTCCCAAGGGGACATGAAATCCCAGGCCCGGGGGTTTGTGTGGAAAAAGGATTGCTTTTCAAGTCGTGCCAGAAATCTGGAGATAAAATCTAAGCCTGGTGACAGCTTGCAAGGTAGAAAGTTTGCAGGGAACTGGAAAAGATGATAGAACTGACAAGGTGACCAGTGCCGAAAGAGCAGGGATTTGGTGATGATAAAAGTAGTGATGCTGTGAGATGAAGCCAAATACAGACAATGAAAATATGGATGAAGATGAAACTGTGAAAACAGGGACAGGCATTTGGTACAACAGTTAAGATGCCAGTTGGGATACCCAGGCCCCGTATCAGCGTGCCTGTGTTTGCGTCCCAGCTCCACTTCCAACTCCAGCTTCCTGCTAATGTGCACCCTGGGAGACAGCAGTGGTGACCCAAGTACTTCAGTCCCATGTGGGATTTGGGATTTCAGGCTCCTGGCTGCAGAATAGCCCAGCTGCTGCTGACACGGGCCTTTGGAGGGTGAACCTGCATGTGCAAGGTCTCTCTGTCTGGGTCTCTCTGACTTTCAAGTAAAAGTGAGTTTAAAAAGAAATTATTAAGATAAAGAGAAGCTTGAGGGAAAACAGAGCTACTGCCAAAGAGAAAACAGAAAAGGAAAGAGCAGTAGGAGAAGAACTGCCTCACTGATAAAACGAGAGCCAGAGACAAACAGAAAACTCAGCAAAATGAGACGTAGGGGATGATGAACGGAGAGATGCAGGCGATGATGAGAGCTATGGAGAGAGGAAGTCAGAGAACAGTGGTGGGGGGAGGGAGCGGTGCCAAAGGGAGAGGGAGGGGAGGTGGAGAAATTGTGGGATTGAGATGAGCTGAGACCAAAGCAACTCTGTGCTGATAACAGCAGTGAGTTCTCAGAGTCAGGTGTGCCTGGGAGTCTTAGCAGCTCCTGGGATTCTCTCCAAGGGGTCTCCCCGCTGGCACTAAGCCAGGCTTCAGTCCCTACCCATCACCTAATAGCTCCTACACACCTTCCTCCAGCCAGGCTTCTTCTGTGCACTTTGCAACTCACTGGAGCGAGAGGAGACCCCTGTCCATGGTCCCTAGGGCCCTCGCCTTCTGCACTTGGATGTCTCCAGACCTTCAGTTCCAATCCCAACATTTCCAAAACTGGACACATCACCTTTTCCCCTAAAGCCAGGCTCTGCTTCTCCAGGGTTCTCTCTCTCTCCAAAATGCACTATTAATTGACCTTTTCTTTCAAGTTGAAATTCTCTGGGTTATTCTTGATTGGGAGAGACAGAAACATGGGCAACACAAACGGGACAGGGGTTCCCTCTTGAGGAAGCAGTGGGGAGGGGAGAGGCCCTAAGGCTGAGGGAAAGGGGATCACTGTCGAGGAGAAGGGTCACAAATGAGACTTCTTTACAAATCATTTTAGGAGCAGAACCACAAGGACCCAGAAATAAAGAGTGTTCCTGTGTCATGTGTTTCCCCAGTGGTGACCCAGGAGGCCAAGAAGCACGGACCAAAAGTGACCAAGCATCAGGCAAGATGGGTAAGGGAAGGCTGCCCAAGGGCATTGGGAGAGAAGGATTCAGCAGGTGCCACAGCCCCTGCGCCAGCCTGGGGCAGGTGGTCAGGGCTCAACAAGTGCGTCAGGCAGCCCCTGGCTCACCAGCAGCCCAAGCTGTAGGATGTGGGGACTCTGAGGTCATTCCATAGATCTCCAACTCTTGTTAAAGTTTTCTAACTTCTTCTTCTTTTAGTCTCACTGCAACATTTCCAGAGATTTGTCTTCTAGCTCGGGTATTCTTTCTTCTGCCTTACCAACTCTGTTGTTAAGGCTTTCCATTGCATTTCTATTTGATCTATTGAATTCTTCATTTCTAGTATTTCATTTTGATTTCTCTTTAAGATCTCAATTTCATGGGGAAAATTTTCATTCATTTCACATATGGTTTTCTTTAGTTCATGGATTTGTTTCTGACTGCTTTTGAGTCATCCTATGATTAATTTTTTGAATTCCATTTCCAGCATTTCCTCAATGTCTTCATCTTCACATTCTAATATTGAAATGTTGCCCTTGGGGGGCTCATAGTGTCTTCCTTATTCTTTTTTTCTTAAAGATTTATTTATTTGTTTGAAAGGCAGAGTTACAGAGAAGCAGAGACAGAGAGAGAGGGCTTCCATCCATTGGTTCACTCCCCAGATGACTGCAACACCCAGAACTATGTCAATCTGGAGCCAGGAGCCAGGAGCTTTTTCTGGATCTCCCACATGGGTGCAAGGGCCTGAGGACTTGGGCCATCTTCTACTGCTTTCCCAGGCCAAAACAGAAAGCTGGATTGGAAGTGGAGTAGCTGGGACTCAAACTGGCACCCATATGGGATGCCAGCACTGCAGGCAGCAGCATTACCCACTATGCCACAGTGCCAGTCTCTCTTCCTTATTCTTGTTTCTTGAATTTCTGCCTTTATATTTAGGCATTTGTAGGATGATTTTTGATGTTTTAATTTATTTATTTAGTCTGATGGATTTTATCTTTGAACTATGTCTCTGTGGCTTAGTGGAACATCTACACTTTCAGTGAATACCAAGAGGAGTGTGGTGGGTGTGGCCAGGGAGTTCTGGTCAGTCCTCCAAGATGGGGTGAGTATCCAGGATAACACCAGGTTGAGTGTGGCAGCTCTCCTCTGGTTAACTGGATGAGAGGAATGGTCACTTCTACTGGTGTGCCCACCCCTGCTCCAAGCTGAGGAACACCAGGTGCTATCCCCAGTGTGTTCAACACTCATCTGCACCACCACATGAACTGCACATATGACCTGCAGAGTCCTTCCTGTGAGCCCGGTTCCCTCTGCTATGAGCTGCCCTAGGCAACCCAGGAGCTCCATGGGCAGCAGCCCTCGGTGATGGTCCAGAACCAGCCACACCCTGCCTCCTCTCACGCAGTCGCAGTGTTTTCTCAGTCTCAGCTCCCAGGGTTCTCCGGGTCAAGGAGTGCCAGTGGGGCCACCCTGCCCTACTAGCCCCACTAGCCCGTCCTGTCTGCAGGGAGACCTTGGTGTTCCCAGGGCCGCTGTCTGTGTGTGTTCCAGCCCGTTGGATTGAGTCTGGTCCTCCCAACCAGTTCCCAGTGGGGAACACGGGTTTTTCTCTCTGGTAAGATTTCTGGTTCACAGGCAGGCACAATGCCCACCCGCCGCAGCCCTGCTTCACTTCACAATTGTGCTGGGTGCCTAGGGCAGTCCCACAGGAGGCACTTCCCTTCGGTGGGGATGGCTCCCCATCCCCACCTGTTTCTGGCTGGGTGCAGCTGGCGCGGTGGAGACCCTCTCCCTCAGTTGCTCTCCCACTGCTGTGGTTGCCCCCGCTGGCTGGGTAGAGGGTGACCCCAATAATTGCTGGGTGCAAGCATATGATCTGGGGTGGCCACTGCCTGCCTGTGTCCAACAACAGTGCCAGCTCTCCTGCTGCTGGCTGCAAGTCCCTGTTAGAGCAGGGGGAGGGGGAGGAAGAGAGACGCTCGCTTCTCCCCGCCCCCCTCTGCCACTGTCCTGAGGGATCCCGGAAAGGCGCGGTTCACTGTGCTCTCCCTCTCACTGTGACAACAGCGGCCTGGGCCTGTGGAGTCCGATCTCACCGGTTTGCTGGGGCAGGTGCTTTCTTCTCCAGAACCAAGCTGATGGGTCTTTTGCTGTGCATCTCTTCATGTTGCTTTTTAATTCTGATTTTAAAATAGATGTTTCTTGTAAACATTGGAGGATTAACTTTCTAGAATTTTTCTAGGTATATATAACACATTTTAGAATATTTTTTAAATAAGGTGATTCTATGTATTTTCCCTTTTCCTGCTTTTTAAGTTTAATATATTGTTTCTAGACAATAAAAAAAATTCAGAATTTTTCATTGAGCTGTAAGGTCTTATTACAGGGATGCCTTAGGATGCGTTGTTTTCATTTTCAGTGAAATTGAGCATTTCTCATTTATTTATTCATTTTCACCTACTCGAAAGACAGGGAGAGAGAGAGAGAGAGAAATAGAGAAAGAGAGATTGAGCTTGATTTTGTAGCCACTAGTTACTCCCCAAATTCCTGCAACAGCCAGGGCTGTGCTGGGCTGAAGCTAGGAACCAGGAAGTTCCGTCTTGGTCTCCCACGTGGGTGGCATGGACCCAAGTCCTTGGGCCATCATCTGCTGCCTCCCAGGAGCATTCCCAAGAAGCTGGGTTGGAAGCAGAGATCTGAGATCTGCACTGGCACTCGGATGTGGAATGCAGGTGCCCCAAGCTGCAGCTTAACCCTCTGCATCACAGCACTTGCCCCTTGATAACCTTTAATGTTTACGCCTATAATGCAAGCAGAGTTTTCTTCTTCATGTACTTGTAACTGGGAATTTTTTAAGTAGTCCCCTAAGTGGCCCCCATCACCACTTTGGTAACACTGTGCTGGTTTTTCTCTGGCAGCCAAATAGACCACAGAAGAAAAGGAGGGTCAGAGAGAGGGAGATCCACGTACCCAGTCCACTGGAGCCTCTGGTTATAAACGCATGGCATTTTCAGGGAGAACAGAAACTTTTACTTATTTATTCAAATCTTAGTTAATGTGCTTCCCTTAGGAAATTTCTTTGTATAACTCCTCATTTCTTTTTTAAGTTTTATGCTTTCTAATTTGTATGTTACCGTGACTACATCCTTTTTTGCCACTATATAAGAGTGAGGGTGAACTTAGCGAGACAACTCTCTCAAAATCTTTATGTAAATAGGAAATCTGTGGACATCGTGTCATCTACTTGGAAACCAGAGCGCCAAAGATCCTCTTCTGATTTCATATAAACTCCTATAAGCATTCATACAAGGTCCAGATGTCGCTTAAAATATTATGGGCCAGGCCCCAAAATACTTGAGTCAGTTTCAAAAAAAATCATCAGGTAACATAATCAGGATTGCTAGTTTCTTTGGAAAGAGGTTTGCAGGAAGTGGCACTAGTTTCTAATTTGGGGTGGAGTAAAGACTCCTTCAAAAACATCCCCAAGGGTGCATTTGACAGAGAGAATGAATCGCACTCATGAGTACACAGTTTCCTGGAGTGTGAGGCTTAGCTTCTTATGAGAGTTCTCAGGTTAACGCTTGGTCAAGTCATATTCTGTGTATTCATCTTAGAGGCAAGAGTTCTCTCTCTCCTTCCACAACTGAGGGTAGAACGGCTTTTCCTCCATTACTTTCTATAATTTCCATTCTTGAAATCTGGTCTGTGGAATTTCATTAGTTACCCTTATAAGAAATGCAGGCCATAGAGTCAGTTTTGTTTTTTTTGTTTTGTTTTGTTTTGTTTTGTTTTGTTTTGTTTTCAGGCAGAGTGGACAGTGAGAGAGAGAAACAGGGAGAAAGGTCTTCCTTTGCCATTGGTTCACCCTCCGAAGGCCACTGCGGCTGGCGCACTGTGCTGATCTGATGGCAGGAGCCAGGTGCTTCCTCCTGGTCTCCCATGCGGATGCAGGGCCCAAGCACTTGGGCCATCCTCCACTGCACTCCCTGGCCACAGCAGAGAGCTGGACTGGAAGAGGGGCAACCGGGACAGAATCTGGCGCCCCGACTGGGACTAGAACCCGGTGTGCCGGTGCCGCAGGCAGAGGATTTAGCCTATTGAGCCGCGGCACCAGCCCATAGAGTCAGTTTTATTGGCAGAAATAAGAGAAGGATCTGGAAAGAATTTCAGTTAAAAGCATTGATGAAGGAGGTGTATAGATCTGTCTGCTATAGCCTCCCGCCCCAGTTGCTTAAATCTGAACCAGTTTTAGGTCACTGCTGTTTATTTTCAGATCTCCTTTCTTCCCCTCAATTCATAATGTGAATGGTTATACTTGGGCGGGGATGCTTATGAAAGCCATTTAAAAGATGTATAGGATCATTATTCCAGGCATCATTAAAATGCTTTCTACATTTTTTTCTGTTTCCAAATATGATGCGTTTATTATAGAGAGAGATGGAGGGAGCATCCTTCCACCCATGGTTGGAATATAGAGTCGGATAAATCTTCTCTTTACCAGACCACATTCCTAAGGGCCTCTTCCCCTCTTTTTTTTTTAAAGATTTATTTATTTAGTTTGGAAGTCAGAATTATAGGGGAGAGGTGGAAAGAAGTGGCCACCAAAGAAAGATATAGTTTCCTCTGAAGGGAGGAGAGAACTTCTACCTTGCTTATGGCTTTGTCCAGCCAGTGGATCCAAAAGGCTTCCGTAGCTGAAGCAGCTCATGTCAAGAGCCTTGGGTGATCACTGATGTCATACACAAGAGCGTTACTTGTTAAATAAGCAAGAAGGGTCCCTGTGCACTAACTCCCCATGCAGGGCCTCTGTCCCCAAAGCGTTGTATCGCGAGACTTCATAGTAAAACTTGTTCTCAAGAAGCACTTCCTTTTAGTGTATTAAATGGAGGGTATTATTATGTCTCATGAGTTATAGATATGTCTAAGAGCTCACAAAAGAAGTATCATCCTTGGGTTCTTCTTTAAAGACAATGAAGTTTTTAAAAGGAAAGTGCTGGGGAGGAAGGAAGGGAAAAGAGGAAAGGGGGAAAAAGCGCTATCACCTTCAAGAAGCAGTAACATAGAACAGCCCCGTCTATACTACTGAGAAACAGTTCTCTTAGTTTTCTTATTCCATTCTTTCTTTTTTTCTTTCTTTCTGTTTCTTTCTCAGACTAAACAGGAGAGGAAGGAGGAAGTTGGGGGGAGGGGTGGGAGGGCAGGTACGGTGGGAAGAATTACTATGTCCCTAATGTTGTATTTATGAGATACATTCAAATTTAAAAAAAGAATTGTAGTGAGGGAGAGAGAGAGAAATAAAGAGAGATCTTGCATCCACTAGGCCATTAGCAGAGAACTGGATGGGCAATGGAGCTGCCATATGGGATGCCAGTGGTGGTTTTACCTGCTATGCCACAACACCAGTCCCAAGAGCCTCATCCCTTAAGGACCTACCCCTAAGCACCTTCCCTTTGTACTGCCCTACTTACCCCCTGCAGGATCCCCAACCCTTCCACAGCTCTTCTTTCCTGGTGAGATCACATCTATGCCCAAGATGGCTGAATCTGTCTTCCTTCAAGCGGCCTGTGTTGGGTGAGGATAGACAAACAGGCTTCAGGACTGCCCAGCGTAACTGGAGTAAGAAAGCGAATTTGGTGGAATGGAAGCATGAGACCAATGTGGAGAGACAAGGAGCTTCCCAAAACACAAATGTAGAAGACTGCAGCAGAGAGATCACGAATCTGAGATTTTGGTTGAACTCGTCGTAGAACTTTGCTGGCTGCAGAGGAAGTCAGCAAAGCTCAGCATATAGGACACGGTGGGATAATCCACAGTGACCCCCACCAGCATAAGATAAGGCTGTGAACCAAGAGCCTATAAAGATCTTTCTAGGAACCCATGTTGTGGGCATCTTGACCAGTGAAGGCAGGACTCATAGCTGACTCTCTGACTTCTTCCAAGGCTCTGGTCAAATGTTGACTTATTGGATGTGTCACCAGCAGTGGCCAGCTTACCTCAATTCCCTTTCACTGATGGAGTAAGGAATTATAGTTCAAAAAGACCAAAGTAAGGACAGTAAAGCTCGGTTTATTAAAGTATGTTCCGAGGGAGAAATGGACAGTCAAGAGAGCACGTGGCACCCTTTCTTCATGGTTTGAGGCTTTTATCCCTAGAGTATGAAGGGCATTGACTGATGATGTGACAATCATGCTTATGATTGTCATTTGTGATTGACATCTGAGAGATGCCTACCTTTGAGCTCTGTGCATGTGGCTTCAGAGTAGACTTTTCTAGTTTGGCTGAGCTGCTGTTTCATCAGGATAGTTTAGCTGCAAGTCAAGTTGCAAAGCGGGCAGTCTTGGGTGGGCCTCAGAGGACAGCAGAGTCCCTGGTGCCTCCCCCTGGATAAGGATCCTGTGGCCCCTCCCCAGTCATTTATACCTGATTATTCACCTGACAGAAGTCCTTCCCTGACCTTCTCTATGAAATAACACATGCGCACACATGCACAGACACACACACACACCCATGCACCAGTCCTGACCCTCTTGTTCTGGCTTGTTTTGTTCAGAGCACTTTCTCTGCCATCTTTTGTGTGTATTTCCTCATTGTCTCCCCTCTGGAATGTAAGCGTTAGCCAGCAAGAGCTTTGTTATTCACAGCTGTATTCTCAGCACCTAGGACAGCGCACTGATGCCCAGCAGGTACCCATTAAAGGGTTACTGGATAAGTAATTTACACACATAAATTAATGCTTCCGGTTTGTGAAACTTTAATCCCAATATGTGATTGTGTGAAACATATACCAAAGGCAAATGTAAAAAAATAACCATTCACAGCAAAAGGATACATCAGGAAATGTCAGAAAACGACAAACTAGAAGACTGGGGGCTTCTCACTGTTCTTTGTCACACACAGTGACGTGGTAATGTCAGCGGTAGTGACTTGTCGTCTGCTAATTCTGCTCCCATTACAAGAGCAAGGCTGCTTCCAGGCTGCACAGTCTCAGTGAGCAGTGGGCTTGGCTTCTTCCCAGAGGCCTGCACAGAGTGGCCATAGACGAGAGGCCCTGCTGGCCTCACAGGTGAGCAGGCGGAAGTGGCAGGTGGGAGAGCAGTGGTGGAAGAGGGAGTGGACCTCCTCCCAGGAGCCTGGGCCTTGGACCTGAAGGGATCTGTGGCCAGAAAGCTGCTTTCTCCAGCCTTGGGATCTAGCTGGTGTGGCTTGCATGAGGGTGGCCTGCAGCGGTGGCTTGCTCTCGGCCTTTCTGTCTGGAGTTGTTGGCCGCCCCTTGCCTCCTACCCTCAACAGACCATGGCATCCCTGGGATTCGATGAGGGAGCTGGAAGAACGTGGCTCACTTCGAGTCCAAAGGGAGTTTATTCAACACGCATTTTTCTTCCCAAGGCACCCTGCAGCCTTCCTGTCCTCAGGAAACTAGACAGCACCTCAGCTCTACCCTGGGGGACCATTTTAAACAGATCGCCAAGGAAAAGCAAAAGGACACTTGTTTACAGGAACCAACACCAGGGGGCAACACGTCACCTGTCACCTTGCCCAACCTAAGAACGTGTCCTGATGACTCAGCTTGTCCCTGCTCTGTGCCTGTCCACCAGCAACCAGGAAAGTGCCACGAGTTCACAAAACGTTTAGTAAGCAAATGTGCAAATATGGAGCTGTGAATTATGCGGATGGACTCTGCTGATGCATATATATGCATGTGTGTGTGTGTATATACAGTCTTTCTAAAGTTAGTATTTTAAATTAGATTTTGCATTAACCTGGGTAAAACAGTATCATATAAAGTTACACTACAGAGTAAAAAGTTTTGCTTGCTCCCTCTTCCTCCTCTGACCTTCATAGATAGGAAGCCACTTTTAGTCATTTCTTACTTATCTTTCTTTTTTTTTTAAGATTTTATTCAGGGGCTGGCACTGTGGTGTAGAGGGTAAAGCTGCTGCCATATGGGCACCGGTTCGAGTCCCGGCTGTTCCACTTCCCATCCAGCTCTCTGCTATGGCCTAGGAAAGCAGTGGAAGATGACCCAAGTCCTTGGGCCCCTGCACCTGTGTGGGAAGACCCAGAGGAGGCTCCTGGCTCCTGGTTTTGGATTGGTACAGCTCCAGCCATTGCAGCCAATTGGGGAGTGAACCAGCAGATGGAAGACCTCTCTCTCTCTCTCTCTCTCTCTCTCTGCCTCTCCTTCTCTCTGTGTGTAACTCTTTCAAATAAATAAATAAATATTTTTAAAGATTTTATTTATTTGTTTGAGAAGCAAGCTTACAGACAGAGAGAGGGAGAAACAGAGAAAGAGAGAGGTCTTCCATTCACTAATTCACACTCCCCAAATGGCCACAACGGCTGGAGCTGCACCAATCTGAAGCCAGGAGCCAGGAGCTTCTTCCAGTTCTCCCAAGCACTTGGGCCGTCTTCCACTGCTTTCCCAGGCCATCACAGAGAGCTGGATCGGCCAAGACTTGAACGAGTGCCCATGTGAGATGTGGGTGCTGCAGGCCAGGGCTTTACCCCACTGTGCCACAGTGCCGGCCCCTCTTAGATATCTTTCTAGAGCTTCTTCATGCATCTGTGGCAAAAATGTTTGCATATTTTAATTTCTTCTGATTTGCACCGAAGATTGTATACTAGACACCCAGCTCTGCGTTTGCTTGTTTAAAACGTGCGCAGGGGCCATGCTAAATCTTCTCTGTATTGTTCCGATTTTAGTACATGTGCTGCTGAAGCGAGCACATTGTTTAAAATTTATCACCGCATTGTGGCCTTTCACCAGCAGGAAGAACACTTCCCAATCTCCATCCCAGCTGTATACGGTGTCATTTCTGAATGAACCGGAATTCCCTGCTGAATACATTATAGGAACACAAATGCTGCAATGAATAATTGTGCGTGTGGGTCATTCTCATGTGCTCAGTAAATCTATGGGACAAGATCTGCAATGTGGGATCACAGTCAGTATCTATTCATCGATAGATATTGCTGGGCACTGTTTTGTGTGAATCGCCACGTCCACTGGCAATGGATCTGCTTGACGACTTCTTCAAAGCTCACCAAGAGTGGGGAACTCGATCAGAGTCTCCCACAGGATGGCAGGGGCCCAGGTGTTTGAGCCGTCACCTGCTCCCAGGGCACACATTACAGGAAGCTGGGATGGATGGGGAGCGAGAAAACTTGAACCCAGGCACTGACATAGCATAGGGGCATCTCATTCAGCAACTTAACACTTGCCACTAAAAAGAGTGAGGTTTGAGTGGTAGGGAGGGGAGGAAGGCATTTCAGGGTTTTTAAGTTTGTTTGCAGGGCCGGGGCCGTGGCTCACTTGGCTAATCCTCCACCTTCGGCGCCATAATCCCGTGTGGGATTCTGGTCCTGGTTGCTCCTCTTCCAGGCCAGCTCTCTGCTGTGGCCTGGGAAGGCAGTGGAGGATGGCCCAAGTGCTTGGGCACCTGCACCCGAGTGGGAGACCAGGAAGAAACACCTGGCTCCTGGCTTTGGAACAGCGTAGCTCCGGCTGTTGCGGCCATTTGGAGGGTGAACCAGCGGAAGGAAGACCTTTCTCTCTGTCTCTCCCTCTCACTGTCTGTAACTCTACCTGTCAAATAAAAAAAAAAAGTTTGTTTGCTTGCATTCCTGGCAAGTTGAACAGTTTTGCACATCATTATTCATTTGTGATTTTTTTTCTTATAAATTCTGTTTATATTCTTTGCCAATTCTTTCTACTGCATTTTTTACTTTTCCTACCGATTTTTGAGAATTCTCTATATTAAGGAGCTAAGTAGCAAATTTTCCTTAGTTTAATATTTGTCTCTTGATTCTGCTTACAAAAAATATTTTCAGGATCAGGTGTTTGGCACAGCTGCTTGAGACACCTGTATATGACACACATGACAGTGCCTGGGTCCAGCCCTACCCCCATCCATCCCAGCTTCCTGTGAGGTGTACCCTGGGAGCAGGTGACAGCTCAGACACTTGGGTCCCTCATCCATGGGGGAGACCCTGATTGAGTTCCTACCTCACGGCTTCAGCCTGGCCCAGCCCCAGCTGTTGAGGGCATTTGGGGAGCAAACCTGCAGGTGGAAGATAGATGACTCGCTCTCTCTTTCAAATAAATAAAAATAAATATTTAAAAATTTTCACTTGCAGCGCCGGCACACCGGGTTCTAGTCCCGGTCGGGGTGCCGGATTCTGTCCAAGTTGCCCCTCTTCTAGACCAGCTCTCTGCTGTGGCCCAGGAGTGCAGTGGAGGATGGCCCAAGTGCTTGGGCCCTGCACCCGCATGGGAGACCAGGAGGTGCACCGGCTGCAGCGTGCTGGCAGTGGCGGCCATTGGAGGGTGAACCAACGGCAAAGGAAGACCTTTCTCTCTGTCTCTCTCTCTCACTGTCCACTTTGCCTGTCAAAAAATTTAAAAAAAATTTCAAAGCCTGAGATGAGTGAGATACTTATATAAGAATATATTTTATTTTTATTTTTATTTTGACAGGCATAGTGGACAGTGAGAGAGAGAGACAGAGAGAAAGGTCTTCCTTTTTCCGTTGGTTCACCCCCCAATGGCCGCTGCGGCCAGCGCACCGCGCTGATCCAAAGCCAGGAAGGAGCCAGGTGCTTCTCCTGGTCTCCCATGCGGGTGCAGGGCCCAAGCACTTGGGCCATCCTCCACTGCACTCCCGGGCCACAGCAGAGAGCTGGACAGGAAGAGGAGTGACTGGGACAGAATCCGGCACCCTGACCAGGACTAGAACCCAGTGTGCTGGCACCGCAGGCAGAGGATTAGCCTAGTGAGCCACAGCGCTGGCCAAGAATATATTTTAATGTTACTCAAATTGCCAGTCTTTTATGGTTTTGGATTTTATGTCATGGTTAGAGAGATCTATTCCACTCACAGTTTATAGAATAATTCTGTAGGTTTTCTTATGTTGCAAGCTGTCACTGTGTTACATTGAAAGCATTGCTGCATTTGGAGTTCATCCAGGTTTGCTATATGGAGACTGAATTTTCTTTCCTTTACAGATGGATCTTCAGTGATCCTAATATTTATTAAAATGTTCACTTTTTCCAATAATTGAGGACACTGCCTTTATTAGAGTTAAGATTCCCATAAGAATTGGCATCTGCGTATTTCTGGACTTTGCTGCATTCTCTTAGTCCCATCTGTTACTGGTGCAACACGCACTCCCTGGCTGCACTCCTGGTGTTTGACATCCGACTCTCTCTGAGTCCTCCTGAGATCATCTTTCTTTTTCCTTGTATCCTTCTTTATATTTCCATATTAACTTTAGAATCACCTTCACACACGCCAAAAAAATCTGTTGACATTTGTAGTGGAATCATGACTTCCAAGCTAATACAGAGAGAATTCCCGTTGCAATGCTATTGAGACGGCCTGTCCAAGAACCCAGTATGCTGCTCTGTTTGGTCAGGCGCCCCCTTGTGCTGTCAGGGGGCTAGTGTTTCCATTCCGAGCACAAAGCAGACTTTCTCTGAAGTGCCCTCATTGTATATGAGGCCTTTGATTGCATTATAGCTTCCAAATTGCTGTTATTTGAAAAATGACTCATTTCTGTAATTTTGAAACTTACTAAACTTTCTTATCATGGTGTATTTTAGTTGGTTCTCTTGGGATTTCTGGGTATATAATCTTATCATCTGGGTAATTTCATTGTAATCTCCCAACTTTTCTAAGGCAGATGTTTAATTCCGTTGGTGGGCATTGCATTGGCAGTCTCGCATAGGTTCTCAAAGGCTGGGTTTTCATCATTGTTATTTGCTACCTATTCTGCAATTCAGATGTATATTTCCTCTTTGGCTTAAGAATTGTGTGAGAGAAAATCATGTACTACATTTTCTAGTGATGGAATTCAATATGCAACAATCATATCAACCTTATTAAATGTGCTATTTGGGTCTTTCATAACTTCCTCTGTTTTGTCCATTGATCTCTTGTGGGCTGAAAACAAGCAAAAATAAAATTATCTAATAGAGTGTTTCTAGTTCCTACTGTAATTTCTACTTGCTTGAAACTTTTTGGTTTGAATTACATTTTATTTGATAGTCTGATCATGACCCCGGGTTTCCTTCTGTTGCTATATGCTGAATATATCTTTGTCTATATGAATTTACTTCATAAAGTTTGCAGAAAATGGAAATAAAAGATTATTTACTTTGGTGCAAAAATGTTTGCTCTCTGTGTGTTTTGAAAATATATGTTATGAAACAGCTATTGAAGGGGCAGCATTGTGGCGCAGTAGGCTAAGCTGCTGCCTTCCACACCGGCGTCCCATAGGAGCACGGGTTCAAGTTCCGGCTGCTCCACATCCGATCCAGCTCCCAACTAATGTGCCCGAGAATGAAGGAGAAGTTGGCCCAAGTACTTGGGTCCCTGCCACCCTGTGGGAGACCTGGATGGAGTTCCAGGCTCCTGGCTTTGGCTTGACCCAACTCTGGCCATTGTGACCATTTGGGGAGTGAACCAGCAGATGGAAGATCTCTCTCTCTTTCTCTCTCTCTCTCTCCCTTTAAATAACTCTGCCTTTCAAATAAATAAATATTTTTAAATGCAGCCTTAAAAAACTATTCATTAATTTCAAAAGGCTTTTGCATTAAAATGAGCATGTCTTTAATTCTATTTTTTACAAACTTTGCAAAATGTCCTTATATATTTATTTTCAATGCTTTTAGAATATGTTTTAAGTGGATCTCTTGCATATGATGAAAAATTAGATTTTAAATTTTCTATTCAAAATAAGTAAATTTATCCCATTTACTTTTATTGAAAGGACAAAGACATTTGATCATATTCTACTACCATTGAGTATATTTCAAAGTTTTACATTTTTAGAAAGTCAACACTCTGCATTCCGTTTTCCATATATTTCCGTGCAATGTAAATTTATTTTTTTTAATATTTACTTTTTGAAAGTCAGAGTTAGGGAGAGAGAGTGACGGAGAGGGAGAGGTTTTCCATCTGCTGTTCACTTTTCAGATGGCTGCCTTGGCCAGGGCTGTGCCAGGCTGAAGTCAGGAGCCAGGAGCTTCATCTAGGTATTCCACATGGGTGGCAGGGGCCCAAGTACTTGAACCAAGTTCTGCTGCTTTCCCAGGTACATTAGCAGGGAGCTAGGTGGGGAGTTGAGCAGCCAGGACTCAAGCTGGCACTCATATGGGATGCCGACACCACAGGCAGCAGCTTAGCCTGCTGCATCACAGTGCTGGCTCCAATTCTCTCCCACAGAAATGAACTCATCCCGAGGTCTAGTTACCCATTCGGTTCTTTATTTATCTTTAAAGTCCAGTGAATTTTCTGGATCATATTTCATTGTTGACTCTCAATTTCTCTGCTGCAGGGTAAAAAAAAAATGTGGTTTTGAGATGTGTATTCCATTTTATGTTGCAACTCCACGAATGTTTTCCTTGAATTTACCTTCAAATATTTCTTCTATTGTTTTGATTTTCTTCTTCAGGAACTCCAGTGATTTAGTCACTGATTATTTTCTTTGTAATTTTTAATCGCTCTTAAACTTCCTTATTTCCTTGTTTCTATCACTTTAATTTCCCAAATGCCTAATCTCTGTTATCCCTCTAAATTTGTCTTCACTTCTCTGATGACTTTCCTTCTACCTAAATCTTAAGCCCTGGCTGTCACAAAGCTTCATGGGTGTTCACGTTGTGCCTCTGAGGTCCAGGTGAGAGCTGCTGTGGCCTGGCCTCCTTGACATACCCCTTCCTCCTCTATCAGCCTCAGCCTGATTTCAGCCGCTTTTCATACTTTAAATAAATAATAAAGCCTCCTGTAGATACGTAGAAGCATGGCATTCATTAAGGCTCTGAACAAATGCATGATGTCTCCATGGATATTATGGTTTGCCATGTGACCACAGCAACCAAGACGGTGTGTTGGTAGCCGGGGAATGAAGAAGATTGAGACATAAAGTGGTTGGAGGCTATTGACATATAAAGCTTGTTAATCTTCTTTTGGAGTTGTAAATGATTGTTTCGCTTCTTTTCTGTCTGAAGGGAAAAGGAGAAGACGCACACGCAGACGCACACGCAGACGTAAGCGCAAAACCCTCCAACGAGGTAAGAAACCTAAGTGTTCACTCCTTTGAGCTCGCCAGGTGCTGATCTTCCTGCCGGATGCCATGTTTGCTGCATCCCCCAGATCGCCTGTGGGCCACCATAGCTCCATAGCAAATGGGTTATTCAGAGTGTAGGCCAGGTCATTACAACAAATAGATCCCCAAACACACTGACTCAACCCAAATAATTTATTTCTCTTTCATCTAACAGCCCAGAAATGATAGGAAGAATCTGCCTTCCTTAATGTTTGCATCTCTGAGCCCAAGAAGACCTATCTTGTTATTGTCTCCCATCTAGTAGAAATGGAAGAACCAGTCAATAGAATCAGCCATGCATTTCCTTAATGGAAGTTTTCTGCTCACATCCTCCTGGTCAAAACTTATCCAGAAATGGCTGCAAGTAAGGCTGAGAAATATGATCTCTGGCCAGGCAACAAGTGCTCAAGCTGTAACTCTGTTCCCATGAAAGGGAGTGATGATGGGTGACAGATAGCACCCTGCCTACCTGCTGAGCATATTTGCATCCAAAACCACTGATATCCTTAAATAATGGGGAGCCTCAGTTGGTTCAAACCCAACCCTCTTTGAGAAGAACAGGAGCTGGAGCTAGGGATGCAACCCAGAGGACGTGCCAGCACTGACTAGGAAATGAGGAAAGAGAAGGAAGTGTTAGAGAGATTATGTGTTGTAACAGTGAATTTAATCCATGACAGAATGAGAAGAAACAGATGGAACTTGAACAGTTAAATAGAAGTCAAAGTCTTGGAATGACATCAGATCAAATCCTGGGAAAGAAAACCATGGTTCTTTAAACCCAACTCACAGTGTACCCCACACTGTGTTTTGACACTGGAGGGCGAGACTGATGTCTGATGCTCCACTCTGTGCACCACAGTCTGCAATTGTACATTTCTATTGCATTTCTCCATTTCTTCTCTTCCTTGTCTTCCTCTTTTCATTTTTTCCTCTCCAACTGTGGCAATATTAAGAAGCCTGTACTTAAATACTATTAAAACTGCACACTATGTAGTGAGGACATTGAGTGAAGCCAGTGTCTTCTGTCATCACATTTGCTCACTGGCTCTTTTTGGAATCTCTGCTTTCAGTTAATCTGGGTCTGGAGAGGAAGGGAAGAGGACATGGTAAGGAGTGAGATGGCCCTCATCTTATGATAGGTCCTTGGGGCCCCCATGATAATGTGGGTACATGAGTCACGCTCATGTGTGAGATCTTCAGAGACACCCAGGCTAGAGAGACTCAGCTAAAGTTCCCCCAGTATGGGAACCCACCCGGCTGCTTAGCTCATCCCTATTCATCTCACATCTAAGTGAGCACCTTGGGCAGAATATCTCTCAAGAAGAGCTAAGTGACTCTTCATGCTCTGCTGCCAGAAAGCCTGTAGCTGGCCCAGCAGTCACCCCCTCTAGATGTTCCAGACAGAGTCTGTAAGCAGCTCTGCCTCCCCCACGTTCCTGGAGCTGCAGATCAGTTATCATGAAACTGAATCCTTCTCACTTCCCTAGGGAAGAGGGAAGCACTTTGCCCACCTGTACAGCAAGTGTATGTATGGATAACATTATGGACAGGAAACCCAAGAACAGCCACACTGCTTCCTGTTGGGTAGTTGTGAAAGAAAATCCATAAGGAACAATTATAAAGGAAGGCCTTGGAGCTTTGTAGTGTTAGCAGGTCTTAAAATCCAAATCTCCTGGTAGGTAAACCTTGAGTAAAATGACCCAGCTGTACTCTGTTTGACCTCAACAGGCTTTTTTTTATTTTTGACAGGCAGAGTGGACAGTGAGAGAGAGAGAGACAGAGAGAAAGGTCTTCCTTTTTCCATTGGTTCACCCTCCAATGGCCGCTGCAGCCGGTGTGCTGCGGCCAGTGCACCACGCTGATCTGAAGCCAGGAGCCAGCTCAACAGGCTTTGATGAGAGTTGAGTTCAACAATACCAGAGAAAGACGCAGTAGGACAGAAAAAGGACTTGTGTTTGTTCATGGCTGGCCAATCCCAGTAGTTTCCAGGAGAGAGAGGGAGAGGGCAGGAGTAGGGGAGAAAGAGAAAGAGAAGAGAGAGAAGAGGAGAGGAGGTAAGAAGAGGAGAGGAAGGAGGAAGGAAAGGAAAGAAGAAAAGAAATGAAAGAAGGAAGAAAGGAGAAGGGGAAAAGGGAGGGAAGGGGAGAGGAGACAGGGAGAAAGGGAGGGAGGATCAGTCCTGCCTTTGAGATAAGCACATCTGAACATGGCACTTGTGTGGTACACCTGCACATACCTCACTGTCTTTGCCCCCACAACCTCTCTCTTGCTGCATCTGAGACCAAGTTCCCTGAGACAGGGTTTCATTTAATCCTTTTTTGCCATCTCTAGCCCTAAGGCTTTCTAGAACTCAAAGCTCTATTTCTACAAATCTCTCCTGGACAGTTTTCTCTTGGATGGTTTCTCAGATCCTAGTTGTCCAAACCCATGCAAGCAGGGTCTTTGGTCATTTCTGCTTCTTTCCCAGCCCCGCACCTTTCATCTAGGGCAAAGACGGTGGCTGGTGTCTCCTCTGCCTAGCACCCTCAGGTCTCTCTGGACCATCCAAATTTATATGCAGCTGCCATGAATGTCTTCCTTTCAGCCAAAGTGATTCTTCAACACATCATTCAGTTTTGTAACTTCTTTGTGCTTCAGTTTCTTCACTGATAATGGGAAAAGTAAAAGTCTCTACTCCTAAATAAATTAGTAGATGAAAAATTCTTTTATTAGTGTCTAGCATATAAAAAGTATTTAAGTGGAGCAATTAATTTGAATTAAACCAGTAACTTAATGATGAATCTGCAACCAGACTCCAGGGCCCTGGGGCCCTTGAAGTGCTGCCTCGAGACAGTTGTAGACATTAAAAAAAGAAAAGAAACTGCAACTCACAGGTGATGTAGTCGTCCACCTTCTGGCCCACTCTCCTTGGTAATTGTGTAGACTCGGAGCTGTCACTTTGCCTCTTCTGCCTCAGTTTGCTCATCTATAAAGTGAAATAAAGTGCATTCGACCTGCTGCCTTTGGGGGCCCATCCCAGCCTCCTGTGTGGCTTCACATTCTGCAACTCCATCCACCCCCATGTGAGGTAAGTGTCGCTCCCCCTCTTCGTGGAGGAACGACACAGGACCCTGCGCTGTTCTTTCGTCTGCTCGGCCCTCCCCGGGTTTGCTGCTGGTTCTTCCCAGGTTGGCTACTATCCCTTCCACCTCCGTGGAAGGGCAGTTCCCCCTGGCCACTTTCCCCACTTCCGCAGGGGAGCGGCACACCGCCGGCCGGCTCTCTCGGGGGCTGCACAGGTGTTCCTTCAGATGTTCCCCTTAGATGTTCCTGGTGCATGTTGTCTCTCTCCTCCTTTATAGTCCTCTTCCACCAATCCCAACTCTGCTACCCACACGCCGAGTACGCTGCCCTCCTCCAATCAGGAGCAGGTCCTGCTGTTTATTAGTTGAACTGGAGGCAGCTGTGTAGAAGCTGTTTCCCTTCTCAGCGCCACATTGTGGGAAAGCAGATGCATAGAATAAGTCTCAATTCCAGTAACTTAGTCTAGTCCGGGTTGCTCCCCACAGTAAGGACCATGGACAGCGCCCTGTCTTGGCATTGTGATTTGGGGCCCTTGTGGAGTTTAACTGATTCTCCAAGGTCGCTGGCTGGCAGTGCAGAACAGCAAGCAGCTCATCATCCTGAGATTCATCTGAAAACCTCTGTCTCTGTTTCTCTTGGGTCAGGTGCTCAGTCCCCCCGACTCCACCCAGATCCAGGTTCTACAATGCAAAACTGCCTTTCCTCCCTGTGCAATTTGCAGATGACTCAGGAGCTCCTGTGAGTTACTCCTGATGCCAGGAGAAAGCTGCAGGGAATAAGAGAATCAAAAGACAGGCACCTGCTGGACTGCCTCTCTGAGATCCTGCCCTCCACTCATAAATACAATATTGGGAACATAGAAATTCCTCCCACGGTACCTGCCCTCCCACCCACTCTCCCACCCCTCTTTCTCTTCCCTTTCTCTTTCAGTCTGAGAAAGAAAAAGAAAGGAAAAATAGAAAAAAATAAAATAAAATGAAAAATACTTAAGAAAGCTGTTCCTCACTCGTCCATTCAAGGGCTGTTTGAAGTTATTCCTTCTTGAAGGAGATTTTGGTTTTTTGTTCCCTTCCTCTTTTCTCTTCCTTACTCCCATTTCTTTCCTTTTAGAAACTTAATTAAAGAAGAACCCAAGAATGAGAATTCTTCTGCAGGCTCTTACATATAACTATAACTTATAAGATATAATAATATCCTCCACTTAATATACTAAAAGGAAGTGATTGTTGAGAACAAGTTTTACTATTGAGTCTCATGACACAACTCTTTGGAGACAGAGGTCCTGCATAGGAAGTTAGTACACAGTGACTTATTGTTAATTTAACAATTAACACTCTTATGTATGATGCCATTAATCACCCAACATGAGTTGCCTTAGCTGTGAAAGCATTTTGGATCCATTAGCTCAACAAGGCCTTAAGCAAAATGGAAGTTCTCTCCTCTCTTCAGAGAAAAGTACATCCTTCTTTGGTGGCCACTTTTTCCACTGCAGTCTCACCCACAGAGGTCCTTTATGTAGAACATTTTTTTTTTTGCCAGAGTGTCTTAGCTTTCTATGCCTGAAATGCTCCCCTGGGCTTTTCAGCTAGACCAGAATGCCTTAAGGGCTGATTCTGAGGTTGGAGTGCTACTTAAAGCAATTGTCATTCTATAAGGCTGCTCTATGGACTGCTTCCCATATTGGAGCATTCACTCCTTTTTAACTCTATTTTATTTCTAAATACTTAGTCCTATTTATATGATCACTTTAACACTTGTTTCTATCTATGTGGTCACTTTATCACTTAATCCTATCAATTTGATCTCTATAACACTTAAGCTGCTATTTTTACCCGTCAGCTTAAGGGAATTTGGGGCCCCATGACAAGTTTTTAAACTGTACCCTTAGAAGTAAGTCTGTAGGAATATATGCAGAACTATACTGCTTTGCAGTTACGAACTTCATACATTTCACAATTACAGCTTTAAGATCTTGGTAATTCTTTCCACCATTACCATCTTCTCACCCACACTTCCTCCCCCCTTCCTCTTCCCTTTCTTATTCTCACTTTTATTTTTTACTAAGATTTATTTTCACTTAACTTTATACACATATTGTTAACTCTATGTTAAGTAAAGAGTTCAATGATTAGTATGAAAGAAAAAAGATAAGTAAGATATGATAAAAGGAAAAGAAAAGAAAAACAAAAATATAGAATAAAAAGTTGTTCCTCAACAGTCAAGATAAGGGCTGCTCAAAGTCATTGCTTCTCTAAGTGTCAACTTCATTTCTACAGGTTGCCTTTTAGGTGCTCTATTAGTTATCATAGGTCAGGGAGAATATATAGAATTTGTCCTTTTGGGACTGGCTTATTTCAGTAATTATGATGTTTTCCAGTTTCATCCATTTTGTTGCAAATGACCAGATTTCATTTTTTCCCACTGTGTAGTATTCCATGGTGTACATAACTCTTAATTTCTTGATCCAGTCTTCAGTTGACAGGGATTTGGGTTGATTCCATGTCTTTGTTATTGTGAATTGAACTGTGATAAACATGGAGGTGCAGAGAGCTCTTTCATATGCTGTTTCATTTCCCTTTGGTAGATTCCCAGGAGTGGGATGGCTGGGTCATATGGTAGATGTGTATTCAGATTTCTGAGTTATCTCCATACTGTCTTCCACAGTGGCTTTACCAGTTTACATTCCCACCAACAGTGGATTAGGGTACTTTTGTCCCCACATCCTCACCAGCATTTGTGTGTTGATTTCTGTATGAAAGCCATTCTAACAGGAGTGAAGTAAAACCTCATTGTGAGGCTGATCATGCAAGGCCGAGCTCATAATGCCATGCCTGGTTGGGCTTCGAGGGATCACCACGGCAGCCCCGGGAGGTGGCAGGCACAAGAGCCCGGCCGCGTGGGACTGGCCGTTGGGGTCCCGGGATGGCAGCCCCAGGTGCACCCATGCCATGGAGAAGCTGGCTGCCGGGCTGGCCGGCCTGCCCTGGAGCATGGGCACTTCCCACTCAACCTCAACATCAGTTGCTACCACCTGCCCTCACTTGCCTGCCTCGGGCCAGGGGTGTACACGGAGGGTATCAGGGAGCGAGACGTCCTGCTCATCCACTCCTGTCACCAGTGGACCATGGTGACAGCCCACATGCTGGAGGAGGGCCACTATGTCATTGGGCCCAAGATTGACATCCCTCTCCAGTACCCAGAATAGATTTGAAAGTAAAGATGAGAAAATGCCCACACCTACCAGTTGCCACAAATCAAACCTTACTCCTTGTTAGAGACCTTCAGCGTGCACCTGGCACTGCCTCATCTGCATCTTTTTTTGCATAGAGCTTCACAGAGAATATCCATCAGAGTCTTCTTCCCAGTGCGGTACCACTGGAGCCCACAGAAGCAGGGGTGCTCATAGCCCCCACAATTTTTGTGTTAAGCTCACTGTTTTCATTAGGTGACTTTATAGGTGAATGTTAAACATTAGACTTAAAAAAAAAAAAAACTCATCGTGGTTTTAACGTGCATTTCTCTGATGGCTAGTGATCCTGAGCGTTTTCTCATGTGTCTGCTGGCCATTTGGATTTCCTCTTTTGAAAAATGTCTGTTTAAGTCATTTGCCCATTTCTTTTTTTTTATTTTTTTATTTAGTAAATATAAATTTTCAAAGTACAGTTAATGGATTACAATGGCTCCCCCCCATAATTTCCCTCCCACTCACACCCCTCCCATCTCCCGCTTCTTCTCCCATTCCATTCACATCAAGATTCATTTTCAATTATCTTTATATTCAGAAGATCTATTCAGTATATATTAAGGAAAGATTTCATCAGTTTGCACCCACACAGAAACACAAAGTGTAAAATACTGTTTCAGTACTAGTTACAGCATTAATTCACATTGGACAACACACTAAGGACAGATCCCACATGAGAAGTAAGTACACAGTGACTCTGTTGTTATTTGACACTCTTGTTTATGGCGTCAGTAATCTCCCTAGGCTCTAATCATGAGTTGCCAAGGCTATGGAAGCCTTTTGAGTTCACCGACTTCGATCTTGTTCTGACAGGGTTATAGTCAAAGTGGAAATTCTCTCCTCCCTTCAGAGAAAGGTACCTCCTTCTTTGATGGCCCTGTTCTTTCCACTGGGATCTCACTCACAGAGATCTTCCATTTAGGTCTTCTTTTTTTTTTTTTTCAGGGTGTCTTGGCTTTCCATGCCTAAAATACTCTCATGGGCTCTTCAGCCATATCCGAATGCCTTAAGGGCTGATTCTGAGGCCAGAGTGCTATTTAGGACATCTGCCATTCTATGAGTCTACTGTGTATCCCGCTTCCCATGATGGATCGTTCTCTCCCTTTTTGATTCTATCAGCTAGTATTAGCAGACACTAGACTTGTTTGTGTGCTCCCTTTGACTCTTAGACCTATCAGTATGATCAATTGTGAACTGAAATTGATCACTTGGACTAGTGAGATGGCATCAGTACATGCCACCTTGATGGGATTGTATTGCAATCCCCTGGCATTTGCCCATTTCTTAACCAGATTGTTTGTTTTGTTGTTGTTGAATTTCTTGATCTCTTTATATATTTTGGTTATTAATTATTTATCAGTTGTATAGTTTGCAAATATTTTCTCCCATTCTGTCAGTTGCCTCTTCACTTTCCTGAGTGTTTCTTTTGTAGTACAGAAGCTTCTCAGTTTGATGTAATCCCATTTGTTAATTTTGGCTTTGATTGCCTGTGCTTTTGTGGTCTTTTCCAAGAACTCTTTGTCAATGCTGACGTCTTGTAGGGTTTCTTGTAGGGTTTCCCCAATGTCCTCTAGTAATTTGATGGAGTTCGGTCATAGATTTAAGTCTTTAGTCCATTTTGATTAGATTTTAGTGAAAGCTTTAGGGTAGGGGTCTTGTTTCATGCTTCCACATGTGGTGATCCAGTTTTCCCAGTACCATCTGTTGAAGAGATTGTCCTTCCTCCAGGGATTGATTTTAGCTCCTTTGTCAAAGATAAGTTAGTTGTAGATGCTTGGATTGATTTCTGGTGTTTCTATTCTGTTCCATTGGTCTATCCATCTGTTTTTGTACCAGTACCAGGCTGTTTTTATTATAACTGCCCTGTAGTATGACTTGAAATCTGCTATTGTGATGCCTCCCAGCTTTGTTTTTGTTGTATGAGGTTGCTTTAGCTATCTGTGGACTCCTGTGTTTCCACTTGAATTTCACCATCATTTTTTCTAGGTCTGAGAAGAATGTCTGGTATTTTGATTAGTAGCACATTGAATCTCTAAGTTGCTTTCAGTAGTATCGACATTTTAATGATATTGATTGTTCCGATCCATGAACATGGAAGATTTTTCCATTTTTTTGTATCTTCTTCTATTTCTTTCTTTAAAGTCTTGTAATTCTCATCATAGAGATCTTTGACATCCTTGATTAAATTTATTCCAAGTTATTTGATTTTTTTGTAGCTACTGTGAATGGGATTGATCTTAGAAGCTCTTTCTCAGCCAAGGCATTGTGTATACAAAGGCTGTTGATTTTTTTGTGTTGATTTTATATCCTGCTACATTTCCAAGCTCTTCCATGAATTCCAATACTCTCTTAGTAAAATCTGTTTCTAGTATTTCATCAACCTCTTCATCTTCACCTTCTAATATTGAAATGTTTCAGTATTCCTTTGGAGGTCTCATAGTGTCTTCCTTATTCTTAAGTTTCTTCCTTTGTTTTTTATCATTTGTGTAGTTTTTTAATTGTCTAGTGGCTGTTATCTTTGGTTTGTGTCTCTGTGGCACAAATTTATGCACAGATTTGTCAAGTTATAGACAAATTAGTCTAAAACTCTTTCTCTGGCCACATTACTATATATGTTTTTGGCTTTAAGTGCCCCCATTAGTCTAGTAGGAGCAGTATATTTTGTTACCTTTCCATATCGATAAGTGGCCATCTTGATTGGAAATTAAGACTTTGGATGGTCTTAGAAATTATGACATTGGATGGTGTTTCCATAAGTTACCCTGGACAGAATGTCTCTCAAACACACCGTGTCGAGCTCCCGTCTTGACTCCCCACCAGGCCATGGGAATCTTAGTTGCTCATTGATGCCCTTGTTGGCTCCCAGTCCTGCCTTCAGCCACCACTGATCCCTCTGCTTGTGACCTTGCGGCTTCTTGAGAGTGAGTCTGACAGTCTCTCTTCTCCTGGGTCTCCCCCAAACCAAGTGTGGATCTCTTAAAACCTCGTTGCTTGGCTTTAACATAGTGTTGTCTCTCCCCGAAGTCCTGGAGTTAGGGATGGCTGATGCTGGCAGAAACAGAGCCCCCACCATGTCCCTTCAGCATGACTAGAAGGGCACCTTGCCATAGGGTACACAGCATCTATTGCATCTTCCTTGGATGTCCTGAATAAGCTAAAGGGTCACCTAAACATCCCCACACACTTTTTCCCATAATTATTAGTCCCAACTAGCAACAGAGTTTTTTAAATAACGTTTAATTTTTCTAAGCTTATTACTATTTAAAAGAGCTGATGTAGAATTTTAGCATCATGCAGTGGTTATTAAGGCTGATTGAGTGCTTGCTTCAGCAGCACATATACTAAAAAAGGCTGATTGACCCAAGAATAGTGGAATCCTACTTTTTCCAGGCATTTTACTTCCTAGTTACAAGGCAGTAGCAAGGAGTTGGAGCACACTGACACACAAAGAACTGTTGTATAGCAGAGTTGAGCAGCACCTCGTTACCTGTAGTCTGATGTACAGCCCAAATTTCTGCATGCTGAGAACCAGATGAGAGCACATTCAATCTTGTTTTTCGCTCTGAAGTTGTTTGCTGTCAATTGGTTTTGATTGAAAGGGAGAATCCAGCTAATTTGGTGGTCCTAGAAAGATTTAAATCAAGAGACTGAGAGTGAGAGAATGAATATGTATGTTGCCCAGTAATGGCTATTGCTAAAGAGACTTAGGTTACAGCCAGGGCCGAGGTATCAGGTTGGCTATCTATGAAGAAGGGGAGAGCAGATGTAGCACAGGGGAACGAAGCAGAAAACAGGCACCTGCTGGACTGCCCCATTGCATGGGACCAAAGGGAAGGAGAGATGGAGGGGGGAAGACAGGGCAGGGAGGGAGAGAGAAAGAAAGAGAATTAGAAAAAGTAGAAGGAGGGAGGGAGGAGGGGGGAAGAGAAGGGGAGGGGTGAGTAAGGGAGAGTCAGATATGGCCAGTTTTCCAGGGTGCACCTTCAGCATCATGGGTGACAGGACAGAGTCCCACACAGAACAACCACATGGATGACTTAGCCCTGGCAATCACACCAGCTGCTTTGCTTGGCTCAGTCCCATTCTTTGATCAATCCAGAGCAATATTTTATCCTGAACTTCAAGCAAGAAGTGTTAAGAAGCCTTCGTCTATCTCCTTGAGGTCTCCATTTCCCCTACTTGGCTTGTTTCTCTTAAACCTTTAGTATCAACAGCCAAATTTATTATTCTCTGATGCAAGCTTAGTCATCTCTTTTCTACATGTATCTCTTTTACTCATTTCCTAAGGGTGACACTTGGGAAGTAGAACATGGCTCGACCTTGGGATGTAAGTCTTCCTGGCAGGTGAATCATCACTGAATGAATCCGGAGGTTTGATCCTGGTGAGGTTTCAGAAAAGTCCTCTGAGTAACTGTCATGGCAGAGGCCCAGGAGGTGAGGTAACGTCATCAACCCCAAGGCTTCTTGTGCTATTGATGGAGGAAATACCCAGATCAGTACCAGCCATGGGCACAGAATGATCCATATAGAACTTTAGAAAGAAAGAGCATTCCCTCTGTGTCCTTGACTTCAACAGTCAGACATATTTGAATGATGCAGCCCTAAATACCCATATGGAGAGTGACTCACATTTTTGGCGACACACCTAATCAACACATACATCAGGTAGCACGTTCTTTCTGAAATGCCGTTTAAGTCAATCCATTGTACTTTCTTCGGCTCCAGTACTCTTAGACCTTGGACCTTCATTTCTACAAATTTCTCCCTGGAGTAGTCTGCAGTGCCTTGGTTTTTAAGTTCTTGGCCATTTTCCTGCCATTTTCAGTGCAAAAAGTTTGTGCCAAGTCTAGGTTTGTAGCAGGATTCCCATCACTGGAATCCACCATGACATTTGGCTTGAGCTCTGACACTGCTGTTCTTACATTTTTGTCTCCATCTCTTTCTCAAAAGAAACTTTCGACACTTGTATTTACTTGTGCTTTTGTCTCTTGAGCGTCAACTTTCTCACCTGTAAAATGATGACATTAGCACCTAGTTGATAGATTTGTTCCAAGGATGAAATAAGTTCATAGAAGCAAAAGACAAAGAATAGTCAGGCAACATATATTCATTTTCATTATTGTACTCACCCTACAACACATGAAATACTATCTCAAGTTTATTTGAAGTGATTTGGCGATATGAAAAAAAAATACAGGGGTCTGGCACTGTGGCGTAGCAGCTTAAAGCCCTGACCTGAGACGCCGGCCTCCCATATGGGCACCAGTTCTGGTTCCGGCTGCTCCTCTTCCAATCCAGCTCTCTGCTATGGACTGGGATAGCAGTAGAGATGGCCTAGGTCCTTGGGCCCCTGCACCCACGTGGGAGACCCGGAAGAAGCTCCTGGCTCCGGATCGGCACAGCTCCAGCCTTTGTAGCCATCTGGGGAGTGGACCAGTGAATGGAAGACCTCTCTCTCTGTCTCTACCTCTCTCTGTAACTCTGCCTTTCAAATAAATAAAATAGATCTTTTTAAAAAATTTTTAAAAATTAAAAAAAATACAGGATGAATGAAAAGCATTGCCTTTGTAACTAAGTCTGGGCCAGGGTCAGCAAACTATATTCAGTAGGGCAAATCTAGCCTGATGACTGCAAATACAATTTTATTAGAACACAGTCACATCTTTTCATGTACATGTTGTGTGTGAATGCTCATGATTCAACTGCAGAGCTTAGTTGCAGCAAAGATTATTGACTTTTAAATATTTACTAGGTGGCCCTTTGCAGAAAAGCTCCTGACTTCTGATTAATGGGTTTGAGATATGTAGAAAGGGTTAGAACCCAGAGGGACATGGAGAGGACTTGAAGGAACTATGCCTGTAGTGCCTGATTCTCAGAGTGGGAGTCCCGGAATGAGCAGCCTCAGCTTCTCCTGCGAGCTGGATACAAATGCACACTTCCTTGGGTCAGTCCTGGGGTTAGAGCCCAGCAACCCGTGGTGGAACAAGCCCTGCAGGCGACTCTGGTGCACCCCCAAGTGGGAGAAGCACTGAGTATGAGGGCAGTTGGAAAAAATCAACCACAGACCACAGAGGACAAGCTCTGACTTCCAGGGCCTGAAACTCGTGACTGTTTACTTCAAGAAAACATTCTCCTAAGAGCAGGCACGTGGCACAGGGTGAAGACCCCACTGGGGACACCAGCGTCCTGTTTCACAGCACCTGGGTCCCCATCTTGCCTCCACTTCCCACACCAGCTTCCTGCCAGTGCACACCCTGGGAGGCAGCAGCTGATGCCTCAAATAGTTGGGTCCCTGTCACTCGTGTAGGAGACCCAGACTGAGTTCCTGGCTCCTGGCTGTGGCCTGGCCCAGTCCCAGCTGTTGCTAGCATTTGGAGAGTGAAACAACAGATGAGCAATCTCTCTCTCTCTCTCTCTCTCTCTCTGTAAAATATAAATAAATAAATTTTTTAAAATACATTTTATATATCCCTAGCAAACAGTATATAGCATTACTAGGTATATAATATATTATAATAATATTATGCAATAATTATTTGATAATTAAATAATATTTATGTTCTATAATATATTAAAACAAATTATATATATATATATATTTAAGTACCAGACTCCTGAAATGTTGCATATGAATGGTATTTTGTAATACACTACTATTTGCAATGCAGTGTTATAAATAAGAGACATATATGTTGTTTTTCAGCTTTCTCAGGGATAAAAAGATTCAACAGTGGACCATTGAAAGGAAACAGGAAAAGGTGTAAAATAAGTGATTGCTACACTTCTAATGATTAATAATTACCAATTAATTAGTAATTAATATACCTCTTGACATCTGGCTTTGGCCTGGCCCAGCCCCAGCTGTTCCTAGCGTGTGGGGACTGAAACAGCAAATGGAAGGTCTTTCTCCCTCTCTCTCTCCAGTAAAATATAAGTAAATATTTTTACAACAATAGTATATTATTTATCTAGTAACAGGTATATAATAATATAATAATTGTCAAAACATAATATATAATTGTCACATATAATGATGTAATGTATAATTCTGTATAATTAAATTATAAAGATATCTAGGTACTAGATAGGTTCCTGGAAAGCCACATTAGCATGGTGTTTTGTACTACACTACCATTTGCAATGCAGTCTTATACACAAGAGACACACTGGTTTTCAGCTTTCTCAGGGATAAAAAGATTCAACAGTGGACCTGTGAAAAGAAACAGGAAAACAGTATAAAGAAGTGACTAGTGTGCTGGTAATAATTGAATGTCTAAGTTTTTATTCAATCCTGTGTGTTCAAAGTGTCTCCTTAACTGGCTCCTGGGGCTGATAGCATGCATTAGCGTTCTGACAACGTGACAGGTTGGTGATAACTCCTACCTCACTGATTAGCCAATGATCTAAGAGACACCCTAGGCCACCATGGGTCTGGGTAGGTCCCCCTTAACTGTAGATGCCTTTGAGGAGGGAAATATAAAGAAAAAAAAGTGTGCATCCCACATGATACTTAGCTGACCCTACTCTTGTCCACATGGAGGCCACAGGTTGCCCACCAAGACCCATGTTCTAATTCCTACACTTCCTGTGACTATCATTTGCCCTTTTTATGACTTCAGTTTCCTCATGGCATGGGAGGAGGTGGTGGGTGAATAAGACCAAGTGTCCTGCTACTTAAGGCTTCCTGGTCTGGCTGAAAGGTCCATGAGAGCATATCAGGCATGGAAAGCCAAGACACTGTGGCAAAAAATGTTCTACATGAAGGATCTCTGTGAGTGAGACCCCAGCGGAAGGAAGTGGCCATCAAAGAAGGAGGTACTTTTCTCCAAAGGGAGAACTTCCACTTTGCTTATGGCCTTGTCTAAATACTGGTGGAGTTTGTGGATTCCAAAGGCTTCCATAGCCTAGGCAGCTCATGTCAAGAGCCTTGGGTGATCACTGACGTCATACATAAGAGTGTTAATTGTTAAATTAACAATAGGAATCACTGTGCACTAACTCCCCATGCAGGACCTCTGTCCACATAGAGTAGGATTAGGAGAGTTAACTATAAAACTTCTTCTCAAACAGTTTTTTGTGTGGGCAAATTATTGAAATCTTTACTTAGTATAGAATTGGTCTTCTGTGTTCAAAGTTAATTGAAAATGAATCTTAATGGAGGATGGGACTGGGAAGGGGAGAGGGAGGAGGATGATGGTTGGGAGTGTGGGTGGGAGGGCAGGTACAGTGGGAAGAATAACTGTATTCCCAAAGTTGTACTTACGAACTTTGTATTCCTTAAAAATTTAATTAATTAACAAAAAAAGAAGATAGACACAGTTCATCACTTAAAGGAGTTACTTTCTAGAGCAGGGGTCAGCAAACTGTGGCTCCTGGGCCAAACCCAGCCTCCTACCTGTTTTGGTAGGTGCAGAACACAGCCACACCCATTTAATTTACATATTTTCTTTGATTCCTTCTTATGCCATAGTAAAACATTGAGCAGTTGCAACAGAGGCCACATGAATGAGAACTTCTCAAACATTCATTATTTGGCTTTTTATAGAAAAAAATTACCAACCTTTGATCTAGAAGCAACTAATAACAGTTTTCTGTGCAAATATTGGGTCAGCTAAATTTTCTGTGCAAGGGGCTTGTCAGATTATTTTTAGTTTTTAATGATTTTAAACTATTTTAAATAAATTATTTTTCTAATAGATTTATTTTAAAAAAAGTGTCCTGCTAGACCCGCCACAGCTCTGATGGTTTATGCATCTCAGTGCTTGTGGAAGGACCATAGACAGCGCCCTCTCCCCACCCCTGAGTCTGTGGCCAGAAGGCCAGGAGCAGCTGCTCCTGCTGCCAAAGTTCATTCTAAGATCTTTGCCACCTGCTTCAGTGGAATCCGATCCCAGTGGACCCCTGGTGGGGGGTACAGCTCTTCCTGAGCAGTCAGCAGTTCCTCTAAGCCCCCCCCCCACACACACACAGAGCTGACGAGAAGAAATGAAACAGCACAGAGGGCAGAGAGGGAGACTGATGCCTCCCACGGGCTGTCCACAGCTACCCCTCCCTGTTCCCCCTGTTCATGCCTCAAACAGGGGGGGCAAGACTAAAAGCTGAGGTTTTTTTCTCCATCTGCAAAACTTCAAATGCATAGTTGGACAGGAGGCAAGTCATGTGGTGGGTGAGTGTGGCCAGCAGCATGAGGAGTCAGACTCCGCCACACAAGGCAAGATTTTGGAGGATTGGAGTGGAGGATGACATCATCTATAGGTATCTAGTCTGCCAAAAAAGAAAGACCTTAAAATGTAACTCACAGGGAATTCTCTGCACTGCATGTTAAGTTATAAAAAGAAAAATCCTGAGGCTAGCATAGTGACTTAGCAGGGTAAGCCGCTGCTTGCAGCACTGGCGTCCCATATCAGAGTCGCCAGTTGGAGTCTTGGCTGCTCTGTTTCCTGCTAATGTGCCTGGAAATGCAGCAGAAGATGGCCCAAGTACTACCTGGGCCCCTACCACCCACATTGGGGACCCAAATGGAGTTCCTGGTTCCTGGCTTCAGTGCGGCCCAGACCTGGCTGTTGCAGCCATTTGGGGAGTGAATCAGTAGACAGAATCTCTCTTTCTCCCTCTTTCTGTCACTTGGCCTTTCCAAGAAGAAAGAAAAAAAAAAAGGATGGGGGAGGGAGAGTGTGGGGAGCAGCTCGGACTAGACTAAGTTACTGGAATTAAGACTTATTCTATGCATCTGCTCTCCTCTGTGGGGAGCAGCTCAGACTAGACTAAGTTACTGGAATTAAGACTTATTCTATGCATCTGCTCTCCTACAATATGGCGCTGGGAGAGGAGAAAACAGCTTCTACCCAGCTGCCTCCAGTTCAACCAATAAACTGTAGGACTTGCTCCTGATTGGAGGAGAGCGGCATACTCGGTGTGTGGGCAGCCGAGTTGGGATTGGCAGAGGAGGACTATAAAGGAGGAGAGAGACGGCATGCACCAGGAACATCTATGGGGAACATCTAAGGGAACCCGTGCAGCCCCCAAGAAGAGCCGGCCGGCGGTGTGCCGCTCCCCTGCGGAAGTGGGGAATGTGGCCAGGGGGAACTGCCCTTCCACGGAGGTGGAAGGGATAGTAGCCAACCCGGGAAGAACCAGCAGCAAACCCGGGGAGGGCCGAGCAGACGAAAGAACAGCGCAGGGTCCTGTGTCGTTCCTCCACGAAGAGGGGGAGCGACAGGAGAGGGGCTTGCAAGACGAGTAGAGAGAGACAGTGCATAATAGTGGAAGATGGAATGAAACATAAATGCTTCCTTGCAGGTCCAAGAAATCCCATTGGCAAACATGCAGACTTTCTACTTCCTGAACTTCCTGTCACCTGTGGATTTATGAAGGGAATTCTACATAAGGAGTTGCTGAAAGGTGAGCTCGCGGTCTTGTCTGCTTCCACTGGAAATACCCACGCAAAGAATGTACTGTTTGGGGAGTAGATCCCTATCCTGGGGCCTCCAAGTCTAGCCCTGGCCTGGCAACTCACTAGGAGGACCTGTGGGACTCAGTCCACAGCCATGCTCTCCGCCAGGGATTATTAAAGTGAAGGGACGGACATACAGCAGTGTCGGGAAAAGGTGCTTAGGCAAAGTCCAGAGGAAATGAAGAGCTTCAGCACACAGGGTGTTCTCACTACACATGCCACATGTTGACCTCCAGGGAGGCTGCCCAGAGCCCAGGAGTCCAGGGTTTTTATCAGAGGTTGGTCTCATAGGCAGCAGATGTCTTGTAGAAACCGCATTGTTTGCACACATGGTTGGGCATAGCTGGTCACCCTTGTCAGTTCTGAAGAGGGTAGAACCCTTCCCAAAATCCAGTACCCCAAGGCCAGTCCAGGGCCAACTTTACCTGAAGGACCCTCTAAGGTGAGTCCCAGGCCCATGGTGCTACCTCTTTTCTGCACAACATTTTCCAACTTTTGGAAATTCATAAAGCATTAGCCTGTCAGGCTACCTCTCCTTACCATGGAAAAGTCCAAGGGAGGCCACTGAGCACCCAACACAATGTCGAGCACGTCAGACCAGGGTGGAAAATGCACACATCTGAGAAATCCCACGGAACCTTCATGGCCACATTCTTCAAAACAGCCTTATGCTAAGTGGGAAGAGCCTAGAATTTGGAATCAGAAGAAAGACCTGCAACCAGCTTCCGCTGCATCTACAGTATATCAGTCTGTTTTTCCATTTATGGTGAAAAACCAGAGGCAAGCTACTTTTCAAAGAAAAGAGGTTAATTTAGCTCTCAGTTTTGGAGGCTGGAAGTCCAAGATGAGGCAGCCTCCAGAGAGGACCTCCTGATGGACGGCACCATGACGGGGGGACATGAGAGAAGAGCACACTGCAAAACAGGAGACCAGAGACCAACCAGGGTCCCATTTTTCCTTCTGCAGGCAGTCCCTCAGTAACCTACGGACTTCCCATGAGGCCTTACCTCTTCAAGGCCCCACCACCTCTTATGTGGCCACACTGCAGACCAAGCATCCCACACACAAAGACTTGGGGGACACACTCAGAACATGCCCCTACCCTGACAGGTGCATCCTGTGTGAAAAGACATCAGCTGCTCTGACCCTAAACTTCCTCCTCTACAAATTGAGAACAACCATAAAACTTGCCTCTCTACATTAGTAGGAGAAAAAAAATGAGGTGCTAGATGGGAAATACTTTACAGTTGTACTGCTCATCTGTCACAACTACTCCCCACTTCCACAGCGTAGCTCTTTGGGCACCAATAAGTAGAAGTGTTTGCCCTATGACTCAGATACATATTTGTAATGCCAACTGTTCCCGTGGGAAAACATTTCCATAATCACTTTTAACATAAAATAGCCATGAGTCCAAACTATGAGAAATAATTGATTGTCATTAGCTGGAGGAATAAAGTTATGCAAGACATGGCGGTTCTAAGTGCGGTGACAATTCCACATGGCCAGCGGGCTCACAAGAACGCAGAGGGTGATTTTGTGCCCTCAAAATACTACAAATACTACAAAAGGGTAAATATTGATGACAGTTATTCTCTACCTTGCTGTGTGAAGAGCAAAGACATTCATAGGACGTAGAGTCCCCTCCTGCCCTCACCTTTCAGGCTGAGTATGGAGCTCTGACGTCTGTTAGGGGAACACAATGGACCCTGAGCCCCAGATGGGTAGCCCCAAGTCCCCAGATCAAGGATGGTAGGAGGCTAGGCTTTCTTTGGTGTGTTCACTGTGGAGGAGCTCAGCTTGTCCTGGTCTTACAGGTGCCTCGGCGAAGTGTATAGAGTGTGACCTCGGGTGGCTCTCCCCTCGAGAATTTGAAGTTGCAGGAAACCACATAGCATCCAAGAACTGGAAGAAAAGTTTGCAGTGCCATGGATTTTCTCTGAAATCTCTGATCGAGGTATTCTGAGGACATGTGGCATCCATCAAAGGTTTACCGTCAGGATTCCCCAGCCCCAAGCTTTGGCAGAATTTGGTAGAATTTCTCCACGTCAGGAAGTCCATCCTGCCTGTGGTAGCGCTCACAGGCTCCCCCTGTTCCAGGGCAGCCTGGTCCTCTCAGTGCATCCCTTTGAGAATAGGATGGCACTTTGTGATCTCCACTCTGCCACAAAGGAACTGTGCAACTGGGTCACGTGAGAGGAGGGGGAGGGTCTTGAGCTTTGGGAGCCAGTGTTACATGTACCATCACAGAATGGTAGATCTGAACATGATGAGTAGTGTGGGTAGCCCCTGGATTCCAGTGTATTTCCACTAGATTTCTTTTGATAAGTTACTCAAAGTTATCCTTGAAAAAGGACACAGGTTCATGGCATTATAAATCATGTCTTCGCTGCTCCTATCAACCTCCTGATGTGGACACGGCAGGCACAGGGTCTCTGTTGCAGTCAAACCTCTGTCTTTCGATTCTAGGTACAGTGCTTTTTCTGCACAGCCTTAGACAGCCCTTGCTTGTCCCACTCTTGCAATAAAGAAAAGATTTTTGCAAAGCAAATATTTAGTGAGCTCCATCTGAGACCACAAGGGAGTTCAAGGTGTGAACCCCAAACCAGGAGGACGGGTGCACCCTCATAATCCCAGAACAGTGTGGTGCTGAGGCTGGGATGAGAGGCACCAGCAGGAGGAGATGAAGCAGCTGGTGGAGGGATGGTTGTTTCTGGCTTTGAGATCAAGGGCAGTGTCGTGGGATAGTCTGCTCTCAGCTGAGCCTTCGAACAAGAACAGGTCTGGCAAACTAGAGTGTAGAAGGGGCATTCTGCATACACAGAAAGGACAGTGTAAAAATCCGTTGCACTATGTGCTGAGACATTGCAGGTAATGAGGCTCCAGTCTTTGGCTGAGCTGACTGTGGAGGGTACAAAGCCTTTCAGCACTAGGCAATCATAGAAAATAATCTTCAAGAAGACACCTTGAATTTGAGCTGACAGTGAGACATCCAGGCAGGAATTACAGGAAGGTAGTCATAGACACAAGCTCACAGAATAAAAGCAAAGATCGATCACTTCATTCATCATTTGTGTCTTTCAGGAAGGTCTTCTACCAGAGCCAAAAGGAACCAGGAAAAAAAGTAATTATCACGTGACCTCCCGCCAACGCCGCATCTGTCAGATCTTTGATTTTCCATGTGCATCACTTTAGAGTATTTTAAAGTGACCAATCGTGATAAAATGCGATTTTATAAATGGTGCCTTTTGCGGTTGATGCTTTCAAACTTCACGCAGTGTAAGAGGCAGGACATCTTCGAGCACTGAGAAATGGAGACGGAGGTGGGAACAGTCTTGCAAGAATCGATCCCAGGGGACCTGACCCTGCATGTGTTTTTTCGGTAGGAGATCTGAGTGTCAGACTCTCTTAGGATGAAATCTAAAAGATGGGACTGGAGTTGGAGAAGCAAGCATGAGTTTGAGAATGTACAAGGCGTTGAGTAGCTATCACCTTTGCACCCTCAGCTTAATCACTGATCGTTTTCCATTGTAGTTTTGAGTTTGTTTGAGTTCTATCCTTAGTGGAATAAGGAGCAAACTGTCCTTAGAAACATCCCATGGTCACTCCAAGTGACCTAATGTAGAATTCTCCGGGGACGTACGGTGCCCAGTGGAGTAAACAAGAATGCATTCTCTCCCTTTCACTCACACCTTGCCTCCAGCGTGTATACACACACACACACACGCACACACACACACACACACACAAAACTTCTTCAAAGGGAATTTTTTTTCCTTTGCCACATACTTGAGAATAGATGGACGGGAATAGAACACCCTGCTGATCTGGAAGGCGGGAAGGACTTCTGTTTCCATAGCCTGTGACAGAGCTGACCTTCCACGTGTCTCCCACCCCAGGAAGTCACGGTCGTCACAAAGCTGGCCCTGGGCCGCCTCCTCTGGCTTGGTGACTAGAGTCACTGATGAGCGCCAACAGCCGCTGCAGTTGCTGGAGATGGAGACAGTATTTGATTTGTTCACTAAGAGAGGCCGGGGCAGCTCAGCCTAGGCTAATCACCTGAGCTGGCCATTCCCCTCTCTCCATTCTGTGTCTGCTCACAGCTCCCAGCAGTGGAACCAACTTGGTGCTCAGAGGCTCTCTCAAGGTTCTTCCAGCCCAGCCCATGGCTTCTAACTCTTGTGTCACTCTCAGCACCATGTGGCAGGCACTGCTGTTGGCAGCTTCCCTGCCTATATGGTCCTGTTAAACCCACCAGTGAGAGACCAGGTGCTCAGGGATAGCAAGATGTGAGAATCCAAGCTGGGAGCCGGTGCTGTGGCCTAGCAGGGAAAGCCGCCACCTGCAGCACTGGTTCAACCCCCAGCTGCCCCACTTCCAATACAGCTCCCTGCTAATGCACCTGGGAAAGCAGTGGAAGATGGCCCAAGTGCCTGGACCCCTGCACCCACATGAGAAACTCGGAACCTAGCTCCTGGCTTCAGATCAGCCCAGATCTGGCTATTGTGGCCATTTGGGGAGTAAACCAGCCAATGGAAGATCTCTCTCTCTCTTTCTCTCTCTCTCTAACTCTGCCTTTCAAATAAAAAACAAATAAATCTTTTTTTTTTGACAGGCAGAGTGGACAGTGAGAGAGAGAGAGAGAGAGAGAGAGAGAGGTCTTCCTTTTGCCGTTGGTTCACCCTCCAATGGCCACTGCGGCCGGCGCACTGTGGCTGGCGCACCGCACTGATCCGAAGGCAGGAGCCAGGTGCTTCTGGTCTCCCTGGTCTCCCATGGGTTGCAGGGCCCAAGCACTTGGGTCATCCTCCACTGCACTCCCTGGCCACAGCAGAGAGCTGGCCTGGAAGAGGGGGCAACCGGGACAGAATCCGGCGCCCCGACCGGGACTAGAACCCGGTGTGCCAGCGCCGCAAGGCGGAGGATTAGCCTATTGAGCCACGGCGCTGGCCAAAACAAATAAATATTTTAAAAAATCCAAGCTGGTCATTTACCAGGTGCCACGACATCCCCTCTCCTGAGTGACAGCTGCATACATTTGCTCATGCTCTTATGAATCGAATCAGTGAACAACTGTGGAACAACTCAAGTGCTGGTGACGTGTGGCCAGGGTGGCAGCACTGTGTCAGCTGCAGCTCTGGAGACTTTGGGCACTTTTTGTCTTCAGGGCTGTGTCCCTACGAGAGCTGCAGGAGGCGACGTGGCTCTTCTCTGGGCCACATGCATGGCCCTGGACTCTGGTCACAGGGGCCCTCAGGGGGTGCGTCCTCAGCCTGATGGCTGCTGCAGCTCCTCTGGTGGGATGGCATTCCCAATTTAGAGAGAAAAGGGAGGACCAGTGCAGCTTCTCCTGCTCCGTCTGGAATCCAAGGCCAGACCTGCGTCAGGGCTTCCAAAGACGCACCTCAGGGGTCAGCGAGCCAGGGCCCGAAGCTCACTTTGGGCCAAGCTGTCATGGACACATAAGCGAATGCTGCTCTGTCCTCTAGACAGACATCCAGGCCCATAAATGTGTTACGAAATGAAACAAAGTGGGGGCTGTGGCACAAACCACTTAAATAAAGAATTCTGTTCGGTGCCAGCATCATGGCTCAGCAGGTGAAGCCATGCTTGTGTCACCAGCATCCCATGTGAGTGCCAGTTCAAGTCCCAGCGATTCCACTTCCAGTCCAACTCCCTACTAATGCTCCCGGGAAGGCAGTAGGTGATAGCCCAAGTGCCTGGGCCCACACTACCCACGGGTGAAACCCAGACGGGGTTCCTGGCTCCTGGTTTCAGCCTGGCCCAACCCCAGCTGTTGTAGCCATTTGGGGAGTAAACCAGCAGATGGGAGATAGATCTCTCTCTCTCTCTCTCTCTCTCTCTCTCTAATTGCCTTTCAAATTAAAAAAAAAAAAATAAAGTATCTTACAAAATGAAACAACACTTCTGATCTGACACAGAGCCACTGCCTCCTAAACTTTGCTGTGGACCACAAGGTCTTCTGGAGAAATCTCTGCTCCGTGTGGTTCCTTTTATTTTGAGGAGGGAGACGTCTAAGTGTCGCTTGGCTACATGCCAAGAGCACATGTTCTAGAATCCCAATGTTTGACCTTGTGGAGTCTTACCAATCCCAGGGATGTCTGCACTTCTTCTCTTTCAGCCAGGAAACTCAAAATGTGAAGTGTGCAGCCAAGAGCAAATACTGCTCTGCCGTGTCACTTGTTCAAAATCCTGTCATCAGGACTTCCACATCCCACCTGTAGAAGATTGGGGGTTAGTAAGACACAGCCCCGTCCCTTCCACCTGCCCCCACGGTGCCATCGGAGGGCACGGGTGTCAACATGTGCCTTTGCCTGCTGGGCAGTCTGTAGCTTTTTCATCAAGCCCGTCTACAGCGCCAGCTCTGCACCGTGGGTCCCTGGAGCAGGAACAGAGTGGCCACAGGGAGAGTATCTCTAGGACAGCTCACCACGTCTCCCTGATTTTCAAGAGCCCCGCAGCACAAAGCCTGGTAGACACGGCTGGAGAATGAATCTTGGGGCAAATGGAAGGCTCTGACCCTGTTGGCGGACTTCTTCTCTGAGAAGTTCCTGCAGGAAGATTTTAGGGTTTAGAGGCCATGTCAGAGTCGAGGAAGCCTGCAGCTTTTGCTCTGTGCTTATTCAGTAAAGTTAAAACATAAAAACTGGTTCCCCTGAGTTTTCCTAGGGTCTGATTGATTCAACATGGCCAGAGACTCCAGTCCTTAAGCTTCTGATTTCCAAGACTTGGTGGTGGCAAACAGGGCTCATTATCAAACTCACAGAGGCTCATATGGAAACTCCAGGTTTGAAGGTGAATGAGGGTCCATCGCTGTGAGCATCTCACTCAGGAGGCTGCCACCAGTGCTACTACTGATGACAGGAGTGGGGTGTCTTTGGCTACTGAACCCCATGCATCTATAAGAGGGAAATCGGATATAAGATGGAAACTACTAGTCAACCCAGCACAGAGGACTTTAGCCACCCTAGGACCCATGACTGACAGACCCTGCCTTTGCTCACTTAATACCCAGCCTCCTAGGAACCCTCAGAGTTGCATCATTTGCAAGAAAAAGCTACTGAGGAAGGGCGCCCAGAGAACCACCCACCTCTCAGGAGTCTGAGGTCCTGATGAGGCTGATGCTGTCTGGCTGTCCAAGGACCAGATGGTGAGTCGTGTTGTGAACCCGAAGCCTGCTCTTTTCTGTTCCTGCAGGAGGAGTGCAGAGGGCCAGAGGGAGGACTGTGTCTCAAGGCAAACCACTGCGCTTCCACCCACGTGCTCAAACACCAGGATTTGGATTCCAAAGAAAACCCCATTCCGTGGGGCCGGCACTGTGACGTAGCGGATAAAGCTGCCGCCTACAGTGCCGGCATCCCATATGGGCACTGGTTGGAGTCCTGGCTGCTCCACTTCCAATCCAGCTCTCTGCTATGGCCTGGGAAAGCAGTAGAAGATGGCCCAAGTGCTTAGGTCCCTGCACCTGCGTGGGAGACCTGGAAGAAGCTCCTGGCTCCTGACTTCGGATTGGCGCAGCTCCAGCCATTGTGGCCAACTGGGGAGTGAACCTGCAGGATGGAAGACTCTCTCTCTCTCTCTCTCTCTCTCTCTCTGCCACTCCTTCTCTCTGTGTGTAACTCTGACTTTCAAATAAATAAGTAAATCAAAACATTCATGTTTGCTTAAAAGAGTCTGTGTTCTGGGAATCGCGTGTCCTGCCTGGACAGGAGAATGAGCCCATTCTCTCTATTTGCCTTTCCCCCAAAATCGCCTTCATCTTCTGCAGGAATGTGAGTTGCTCCTCTTGCAGGTGCACTGTGATTCAGACAGTACCAAATGGTGTAAGTACCGGCAGCAAAGCCCCAAACTGACAACAGCCCAGGGTACAGGTGGGGCAAATAAGAACAGAGCTGGGGGTGTGGCTGCAAACGTGACCAGGGCCCCCGGCTGTGCTGTGTTCTGGACAGGCGGTTGTCACCCACAGAGGACACCAGGCAGGAAGAAGAGTGTGCTTAAGGCAACTGGTGCTTCTCTTCTCTAAAGAAAGCTACTGTTGAAGACCCCCGTTACAACAGGGTCTGCTTGTCTCAAAGCAGCAAGTCAATCCCGAACACCAGGGCAGTGGCAGAACGCGGGTGGAGCCGGGAGTCGGGCTGCTATCGCTGAATTCCTGGACTCCCTGAGGGATTAATGGGGGGAGGGGGTCTTACAGATTAAAGCTGGGGTTCGGCAGTGCACCATGAGCTTGTGTGCAGGTAGGTCTCTGGCTGGTCCACGGCGCTGGTGGCTTTCCTCTGATTGGTCAATGGTAGGAAGTCACTGTGTTCTCCTGACAATGCTGTGACGGCCATGTGGACTCTTGTTTGGTCAGGGCCGGCGGTTCTTGTGAAGCATCTCAAATGGAACCCAGTTTTAGGACATTAACTGTGGAGGTAATAACTGATTGGCGTCTTGTGAGCTGGATTATATGGCACTAGCCTGATCCGTGCACCACTTCCCTTAAGTTGGTGAGTTCATCCTCCAAGCGGAGTTGTCAAAGTGGAGACAAAGGAGCCACAGGCTGGGGGAGGGATGAAGTCTACATCCAAGGCGTTGGGGGTGGGCGCTTGGTTTAAACACCACACCAAATTCCTCCAATTTCAAAGTCTTGGATTTCTTGACATCAGAATTTCCTATTCCTGTGACAGAAGGTTAACAGGATTCCCAAGGGCGAGAGTCAAAGAAAAAGGAAAAGGTCATTCACTGGCCCTAGATGTTTCTGTACCATCATGTTGTTACAAATAATATATGCTGTGTTTAAATGCCAAGCAGCTAGAATCTGGACAAGTTAAATCTATCAATAAATGTCCCACTAGGAATCAGCCTGCAATGTATAGGTTGAGCATCCCTAACCCAAACTTCTGAAACTCCAAATTCTCCAAATCTGAAATGTTTTGAGTGCTGCTGACAAGATAGCACAAGAGGAAAATCCCACACAATCAAGCTTTGCTTCATGCATAAAATTATTAAAAAGAATGTATAACGTTACCTGCAGGCCATGTATACAAGGCGGAAATGGAACATAAATGAATTTTTTTGGTGCAGAAACTCAGGCTGCATCCACAGTGTATCTCATTGTATATATGCCAAAATCCCCAAATCTCAAAAGCCGGAAATCTGAAATCCTTCTGTGTCGCTTCCCCTCTTCGTGGAGGAACGACACTAAACCCTGCCTAGGTTTCCTATCCGAGTCACGGCACCATTATGTTGCTCTCCCTCTTCGTGGAGGAATGACACAGGACCCTGTGTTGTTCTTTCGTCTGCTCGGCCCTCCCCGGGTTTGCTGCTGGTTCTTCCCGGGTTGGCTACTGACCCTTCCACCTCCGTGGAAGGGCGGTGCCCCCTGCCACTTTCCCCACTTCCGCGGGGGAGCGGCACACTGCCGGCCGGCTCTCTCGGGGGCTGCTCAGGTGTTCCTTCAGATAGATGTTCCCCTTAGATGTTCCTGGTGCATGTTGTCTCTCTCCTCCTTTATAGTCCTCTTCCACCAATCCCAACTCTGCTACCCACACGCCGAGTACACTGCTCTCCTCCAATCAGGAGCAAGATCAGCTCCTGCAGCTCAGTCAATCAAATTGGCGAGAGGCAGCTGTGTAGAAGCTGTTTACTCCCTTCTCAGCGCCATTTTGTGGGAGAGCAGATGCATAGAATAAGTCTTAATTCCAGTAACTTAGTCTAGTCCGAGTTGCTCCCCACACTTCTGGTACCTGAAAGTGCGGACAAAGGGACGCACCACGTGCAGTGCTACTGCTGCTCCTGTGTCCTCCAGACAGAGAGAAGCAACCAGCCTCCCGGCTCTGGACTCATTGCTACCTCACTCTGGCTCAGGGGCATCTGGTGCTGGGAGTGCAGCCTCAGCGGACAGTGGCGATGGCTGTGTCCATCTCTGCTTCTTCAGGACAATAAGTTCGTCAGCCTGGCACTTCAACTCGAGGCCGAATTTGAGAAGAATTTCAGAAATATTTTTGCAATTCAGTAAACCAGCAAGAGCACATCTCAGATTAGGCCCACTGTTGGTTAGTGTAGCCTGGTTCTGAACCACACACCACCCCACCCTTGCCACAACACACACACACACACACACTTCAAACCATTCTCAGCCACTCCTACTCATTTTTTCTAAATAAAATTTAAAATTGTCAGGTTCTCTGGTTGAATCACTTGGAGTGGAAGTTACCATTGAAACATAGCCCAGTTTTTCTACAGAAGGTCCCTCCCATTTATTCAGATCTTGTATCCAATTCTTCAGCAACATATTCTTTTCCTACGCAGGACTGAAATCTTTGTTTTCATTCTCAAAGTGTTTTATATTTTCTTGTTGGTGCTGTGAAAGTAATCTCTCCCTATTATATTTCATTACTGGCTATTGACTGTTACAGAAGGCTACTGAGATAGATAGATAGATAGATAGATAGACAGACAGACAGACAGACAGACATAGAGATATCACTGGTTACCTTACTGAATACTGGACAGTGTTGTTTTTTGCCTGGTATCCATTGGCATGAGGAAGCCTGTGGTGTATATATAACACTTCCAACTTTGAATCCATGGGATAGTGATTGATTCAGCTGATTCCTATCTGGACACTAAAACCCCTGACAAGTCTTCATTCTGTTGGAGAATGGCTCTGCCTGGATGGTGTAGGTCAGTTGCTCCATGTTGCCTCTTGATACAATCACAAATCATTTTTTATAAGTAGGTATACACTTTAAAATAACAACAAAAGCAGAGACTAGTAAAAGCATAAACCAGTACCACAGTCATTTATTGTCAATATTAAATGTTACGTCCTGTGCATCATTGCACCTGCTGTTCTTTTCTACACCTAGTGGCACGGGAAAGTTGTTTGTCCCAGCATCACTGCAGACACGAGTAATGCCTGGCACCGTGGTGTTAGGATAGCATAACATCGCTGGCTGCCCTTATAGATACTGCCCATTGTTGGCTAAAACACCATTATGGAGCACATGACTATACGGACATGGGCAATATGCAGGGACAGTAGCAGCTCTCAGAGAGGTGGCTTGTAAGTCAAGCTCAAATACCATCCAGCTAAAAAAGCAAGGAGGGTGTGCAAAGACCAGGTATGGGGGTGACCAGGAAAGGTATGGTACACAAGAGTTTGGTTTGTGGGACAAATTTAGGGCGCCTTATCCGGTGATAGAATCCTTCTCTTGCTGGTACATGGGAGCCCTTAAGGAATGAAGATTTTCTGCTTCTGGAGTTTTTCCCATATCTGCTGTTTCTCAAAATAACCCTTCTGCCAAAGCGGCAGGTTTTGAGTTGGCGTATTCTGGTCTCTGATTCCTCTGCATGTAGACCACACAGGAAAAACTTAACTGCAGCTGACGGAAGCGCTGGCAGAACGTGCGCTGGGGGCCCAAAAGGAGCTGCACCCCGGGCCCTCTCCCACTCTTCTGCACCTTCCCTGGGGGCTGCCGTGACTGTTCCTCCTCACTCCCCAAGTTCTGGTGAGACGTGAAACCCCTTGGCCGCATCATGAACGCGTGCCATCACTCCTGCCGCATCCTATGTCACCAGCCCCTTTTTCATTTCCATGCTTCCCTGAGGACAAGGGACACGGGCAGCTGGCACCTTTGCCCTTGGTGTGAGCTGTCTGTGCAAGTCTGATAAGGATGGCGGACTTCTGCTGGCCGAAGCGTACTGCTGGTCCTGCTGCTACTTGGCACCATGACGGAAGGAGTGAATGCCAAGGCCGTGCCTCTACAGAGGGGCTTCCTGGAACTCAGGATCCTGAGGCCATGGACCAATTGCATATTCTTTGAGCCATGCTTTAGATTTTTTTTCTGGAAGCCCTGCTACTACCCTAAAAATTGAATGTATTGTAAAACAGACCTATGGTGAAGCGGCTTCCAGTCATTTGGGAAGCATGGGATGCAGAGGAACCTTGGTGAGCATTCTGATGTCTGCAGGCTTTGGCACAGTGTAACGGGATTATCAGTAACAGTAACTGTAGAAACGCCTCCCAGTGCTCTGACAGCAACTGGGGAGGAATCCTCCCCGTCTCTCGTCTCATCTCTCGGATGTCATTCATGTAGCGATTCCTGTGCAGCTCACTCTGATTAACTTTGTAAACAACAAAAAAGCAAGGGACCAAGGTGAAAAATGTACATTTTATTCATTGAAATATATAGCTTAAAGTATGACATAAAATTGCGTAAGACATAAGCAAGCTATAAACTACATGATTAAGAAACTTATTAAACTGTTCAAATAGAAAAAAAGTCTCAACCTAGAAGGGCCCATCATTTCTTTATCAGCCACTCTGCCACCAGAGGCAATGTGCTCATCGCGGGAGGAAGAGCGCCACCTACTGGAAGCGGACGACCTCTTTCAGGACAATCGGCTGAGCCTCAGAAATGATCATTTCTGGTTGGTACAGAAATTATTTCTCCAGCACACATGTCCCCATTCAAATAGGGAATTTTCATAGTCGGAATGGGTAATTTTGAATTTTAAATGAATTTATGTATTATGAGTGAAAGGTTTAAAATCGTATCTGATGGACGAGCACCTGGCCAAGTACTTAAGGGTGTTGGTTGGGTACTTGAGTTCAAGTCCTGGCCCTGCCACCAATCCCAGCTTCCTGCTGTTTCTGGTACCTCTGCCTCGGCTTCAGCCATGAAGACCTTGGAAGCCACTTGGTGACAATGGCAGAACCACCATCAGCCAGAGTTCCTATAAGACTGTGTGGATCAAAGCTCTCCAGCAAGAAGAACCTGCCTTGCACTGGTTGTGTGGGCAAGAAATAAATGTCTTCAAGTGAATCAGCAAGCAGGGGCCTGTCTCTGACAGCAGCCATCCCACTTGCTTTAGAGACACTGCCATCAATGCCGGATGTGGACAGGCAGCGAGGAAACACATCAGAGGCTGGAGGGGAGAGGCCCAGGTCATGCAGCAGCAAGTCCTCCAGCAGTTCTCACATGCCTGTATTTTTTTGAGAGAGAGAGAGAGAGAGAGAGAGAGAGAGAAAGGTCTTCTTTCCGTTGGTTCACTCCCCAAATGGCTGCCACGGCCAGCACTGCACCAATGCGAGGCCAGGAGCCAGGTGCTTCCTCCTGGTCTCCCATGGGGTGCAGGGCCCAAGCACCTGGGCCATCCTCTACTGTCCTCCCAGGCCACAGCAGAGAGCTGGACTGGAAGAGGAGCAGCTGGGACTAGAACCCGGCGCCCATATAGGATGCCAGCGCCGCAGGCGGAGGATTAACCAAGTGAGCCACGGTGCCGGCCTGTACTTTATTATTATCACTTATTCTAGAGGCAGAGTTACAGAGGAAGAGATGGAGAGAGAGGTTTTCCAGCCACTGGTTTACTCCCCAAATGGCCACAACAGCAGGGCTGGACCAGGCCAAAGCCAGGAGCCAGGGGCTTCTTCTGGGTCTCCCACATGGGTGCAAGGGCCCCAGCACTTGGGCCATCCTCCACTGTCTGATTTAGGCACGTCTCTTTATTAGAATTGAGCTTTGTGTGTCCAGGAGTCAAGCTTTAAGTCTCATTGAGACTGCAAAACCCAGCGATCAATGTTCATACACCATGATTGCCTGATTGACAAGACAGGGATAAAACAGTAACCCAACTCACCTCTTCAGGTTGTCTGGGGAAAAAAATACCTTCTTATTTGGAAAAGACTGCCATTCGCCAATGACACGCTGGAGGACATTTTCATCTGAAGTTGTCCTTTCTGACACGGACGAGACGGAGAAGAGTTGTCTGCTGAGACCTTTTCCACAAGTGCCCAAAGGACAGCGCTACCAGCCAGCAGAGTGTTCAGCCCTCTGTGTGTTGCAGAAGACAGCATGGCAACAGGTGCACGGGACATCACCCCGTGAAGTCAAGGTGTTACGTGTGCAGGCGCCCAGGGCTTCAAAAAGTTCATGGAATAATTATGCATGGATTTCCAAAAAAAATTTAAGATTGATTTATTTGAAAGGCAGAGTTACAGAAAGAAGGAGAAAGAGATCTTCCATCTGCTGGTTCACTCCCCAAAGGACTACAGCGGCCAGTGCTGGGCCAGGCTGAAGCCAGCAGCCAAGAGTTTCATCTGGGTCTCCCATGTGGGTGGGTACAGGGGCCCAAGCACTTGGGCCATCTTCCGCTGCTTTCCCAGGTGCATTAGAGCTGGATCAGGAAGTGAAGCACCCAGAACTTGAACCAGAGCCCCTATGGGATGCAGGTGTCGCAGGCAGAGGCTTAACCGCTGTGCCAAATTTCTGGCCCCTCAAAAATATTTTGCAACAAAATAAACATACTTCCTTGTGCCTCCCCATCTGTCTCCAGTCCACTCAGCTTCCCAGGCTACCCTGTTTGGATGCTTCCCATATTTGACAACAAACTTCTGTCATTTAAGTCATTGTGTGTTGGTTAAAAATATATCATGGAAATCAATAAAGCACATCTTCTTTAACTTCCAAAAAACCCAGCAAATTATTAAAATGAACCTTTCATTGGAAAGTGTACATTTTGATAATGAGGTATCTTATTTGCTATTAACCCTAGTATGTGCTTCCAAACAAGTTCTGTTCATAAAATCTGTAGAAGAGAAACAGTTACAGTTTAACAAAAACCATAAATCCCAGCTCGGACGCTTCAGTGCGGTGAGTTAAGCTTGGGATGCTGGCCTGCTACGGAGGAGAGCCTGGGGTGACTCCCAGCTCCTCTGCTTCTGATCCAGCTCCCTGCTAACGCAGCTGGGAAACAGCAAGTGACGGCCCAAGTGCTCGGATTCCTGTCTCCATGTGGGAGACCCAGATGGAGCTCCTGGCTCTTGGCTTCAGCCTGGCCCAGCTCTGGCTGTTGTGGCCACTTGGGGAGTGAACCAGTAGATGAAAGACTCTCTCTCTCTGCCTCTCTCTCTCTCTCTGCTTTTCAAACAAATAAATAAAATCTTTATTTTTAAAAAAATGGACACTGTCACATGTTGAGAAGAAGGGAATGAACGGCAAACCTGGGTATCACTGATGGCGTGGGCATCAGTACTGGAGAAAACCAACCACAGCTGCTGAAGCCACCCGGTGACCCAGGAGTGACACTCCCAGGCTACACCAGAGACGATGCAAAGCCTGCAAAACACACCCGGTTTCACACGGTTCCATCACACCCAAGTCAGGGGCCGTGTCTTCCCACAGCAGCTGCCACTTTCTACCTCACTTCTCAGAGCTCAGCTTTCCCTCCTTCACAGTCTAGAGCTGGTTTTATAACCCAGTTCAAAGAAATCCAGGAACCAACCTAGTCATAAGTAAGTAGCAAACAGGAAAAGCCCACTACCAGAGAGAGCGCCTCGGCTGTCAGCTGCCCCCCTGCGGGCCGCCTGGTCCTGCCCTTCCTAGCCTCAGAGTGCGACGGGGACAAGCCACCATCGGAATTATCTGTGTTCTCCTTGGTCCAGTCTGGGATTCCCCACAAGGCTCCCGGGGTCAGAACAGCAGGTCTGAACCGACTCGCCCAGAGAGCCAAAGGTGAGCTGGCAGTGTTATGAACACACAGGGGTCTCTTTTCCGGTTTCTGAGTTTCTCATCTCTCCTGGGAATGCGGTGGCAGGGACGAGGAGAAGGACCTGTGGCATGAAGGCCTGGAGGGCCAGGGAGAGCCTCAACCCAGGGCAGGAGCGGGGGCAGCTCAGGGGGTCCACCGGGGCAGGGGCAAGAGGCCAGGAAAGTGTGCTTGACCTAACAGGACCAGAGCTGCTTCCGGGTGAGAAGCAGTTTACAGTGCAGGGAAGGAACCCCTCTGTAGTGGAATGAGAAGGCCATGCCAAGATGGCCACTAGCAACAGAAACTGCCTGGCAACAGGCTGTGATTGGTTAGGGCATAGATCACCCCTTGACCGGATTGGCTGTCTTGGCTATATAAGCTGCTGTAGCAACTGAAATAAACGAGTCTGCCAGCTGCTCGCCTCTGGCCTGTTTTCACCCGACTCCCGGGGTCTGTGTGGTGACCCGCGCCTCTGGCCCCACCACGCTCCTCCTCTCAGGAACAAATCCACCTCAACACCCCTCTGTCTACCGTTTTCCCTGCTGAGATTGCTGTGGGAGGGGAGAGGGGAAGCCAGAAGCTTCCAGGCGGCGCTCGGGCCTGGCCTGGCTTGGCTAGCACACTGTCTGCTGAGTGGACAAGTTAGACCCCTACAGGGTCTTGGCTACAGGGTTGGAGGGAGCTGAATGCTGTACCTTAGAAAGTAGGGAGAATGTTCCTAGAATTTCTGGAAAGCAGCCAGGTCACTGGGGCCAGAGGCAGGAGGCAAGATGGTGGGCAAGGTCAACCTCGCAAAGGAAGCGGGAGGCATTGCAGTCACGCCGCCTCTCCCTGCCAGGTGGGCTCCCGGTTCTGCTTGGCTAGCAGAATTTGGCAGAAGTGACGCCGAGCTGGTGCCAGGGCCACGCGTGCACCCTATCAGAAGTGGACTGCCTGGCCCCGTGACCCCAGACCCTGCTCCACGGGGCCATCGCCTGCATTCCTGAGGCCCCTCCCTTATCACGACGCCCAGCCCGCCCAGTCAGGACACCCCACGGAAATGCCGCCTCTGACAGCTTCTGCAAACACCAGCCCCCGCCCCACTGAGATACCCTTCTCCTACCCTCATCTCGCCCCACCCCAGCTCTTCCCCTCACCCAACTCAAGTCCCCACCACCCAGAAGAAAAGACAAAGCAAGCCGCACCAGCCGGCACAGCAACGCCCTCCCGCCATGCCCTTAGCTGGCCAGGGCCGCACAAACCCTGGGTAAGTGTGGGCAGCCCCTCTCTCTTTATTAACGAGCTCGCCCTGGCTGGGAAGGTCTCCTCTCTGTCCCGCTCCTACCTCCTCCCAAACACAAAGCCAGGCGCTAAGGAGATGAAGAGAAGCAGGCGGTGCAGAGCCCTCGGATGGACTGACAGACAGACTCCCGGCTCTGCCTTCTCAGCCACTGGCTCTGGACGCGGGTCTAGAACAGGAAGCAGCACGGAGACCGTGGGAAGCCAGCCCGCCCGCTGCCAGGGCTACACTCAAAGAACCAGTGCCTCAAACGGGTATCTGTATTCCAGCAACCCCAGGAGCACCAGTGGCACACACAGCGGTGTGTTATCCATCCCATCAGTCTTTGCTGGGTACTGTAACACAGGTAAATGAAATAGCTACACAGATTCCACTTATATGAAGCACTTAGAGTAGGCAAATCTGGGGCCCACGTTGTGATGCAAGGGGTAAAGCCTGTAGCACTGGCACCCCAAAGGGGCATCCTGTCCCGGCTGCTCCACTTCCGATCCGGCTCCCTACTGATGTGCCTGGGGAAGCAGCGGAGGATGGCCCAGGTGCTTGGGCCCCTGCACCCACGTGGGAGACCTGGAAGGAGCGCCTGCCTCCTGACTTCAGCCAGATGGCCATTTGGGGAGTGAACCCGCAGACCAAAGCGCTCTCTCGCTCTCTCTCTCTGCCTGTCAAATAAATAAATAAAGCTTTAAAAAAAAAATAGAACAGACAATTCATACCAACAGAAAGTGGAATGGAGACCCACAAGCGGCAGAAGCGGGAGGCAGGCACGGGTTTGTCCAGCGGGTAGAGCTTGCGCTGGGATCGAGGGAAACCGCAGCTCGTGGCGACAGCCACCCAGCACGCGTGACGCGCTGACTCTGAGCTGTATGCTCACAACGATAAAAGATCACTTAGTGGAGATGGTCAATACGCGTCTGTTATCGTAACTGACAGCCACGGGCGGCGCTCGGGTCGTTGGCACTTGCAGCTCTGCGCGATCCCGCGGGTGGGGCCGCGCCCTCGCGAGGAGCCGACCGTCCCGCCGTTCCGGGTCTGCAGCAGGCGCCTGGCCCCCTCCCCTGCTCGCACCCCGGTGCCAACTCCACCTGCCCGCAAGCGTCGCGGTCTAAGAGAACACAGCGCAGAAACCACAGAGGAGGAAACCGCGGGCCCCCGCTCCCGGGTCCCCTGAGAGAGGAACCCCGGCCGCAGGAGGCCGGGCGCGGGCGCGGACGCGGGCGGAGCCCCAGCTGCTGCTCGTGCACCCGCAAGAGCAGGTGCGCGGCGGCTGCACCCGGGCGGGGGCTCGAGCGTCCGCTCCGCCGCCGCCGGCGCAGCAGGTGTCCCGGGCCGGCCCCAGGGCCCAGCCCCGAGCTCGGAGCGCGCGCTCCGGACCCAGCTGGTCAGCAGCCATTCCCCCGAGCCCCTCCAGGGAGTTCCGGAAATGCCACCTGCAAAGTACATCACTGCTGACTCGGGAGAGGCTTTCTCAGGTCTCCCCTCTTCGGCCCAAAGACCAAGATCTCCCCAAAAGTAGCTCAGTGGCCACCCACCCGGAGACGCCCCTAAGTTAGCTGTCCCCTCCCCCACTCACGCCTGCAGGGCTGAGGGGCGTCCGCTCGTCTTCCCCGGGGCGCCCCCTCTCTCGCGTCACTCCGCCTGCTGCCAGCTCACGCCTGAGAGGCCGCTGCGGAGCCCTCGGAGGGTGCAGGACAAGCCCCCTCCCCTGCACCCCGCAGGGCGCGGCCGCTGCCCCCCCTCCCCCCAAGACCGCCCCACCCTCCAGGGGGAGCGCACCCAGCAGAAGCGAACCTCGCGCTGCGGTTGGCTTTTCTTGTTAATACCAGCAAGAGAAACTCGAGCCGAAATTTGCATTTCACCGCCCGAAGAACGTGGGGGTCCCACCTCCTCGCCTCGCTCCAGATTCTCTAGAGCGTATACACTGCCCTCTGGCGGCAGGATGTTGCTGGTGCGCTTGCCCGCTTTACAATGTCATTTATCCCAAAATGCTGGGGGCCAGAATGTTTGGGATTTCGGGGTGTTTTTTTTTTTCTCAAGTTTGGAACATTTGCATATACGTAATGAGCTATCTTGGGGGGTGGGAGCCAGTTATAAACACAAAACTCACTTCTGTTTCATGTACACCTTAAACACACAGCTGGAAGACCATTTTCTACAAGTGTTTTTAGTGCACCTGCCTTTCTCTGCTACCCGACGCACGACCCAGGGATGGAATTTCCCACTTGGGGCATCAGGAAGTTTTGAATTTTTACAGTTCTGGATTTGGGGTTTTCGTATTAACGACGCTGAATCTGTACGCGTGCATTGTATCTTTTCCCCTCGTAATTAATTCAAACAGAAACCTTTTCTCAACCCTCTAAACAAGCTGCACGCAATCAGGTTAGAAGTGGCATTTTTCCTTTTAAATACGGGTGCAATAGCGTGGAAGATGGGTGTGGGAACGGACTGCCTGCTTGGCAGTTCAAATGCCCATAATGGGTTTATGATCCAGGCAGGGCAAATTTACCTCAAACCGTGAGGGACGGGCTGTGCCCTTGATGCCTTCCTGTCACCATCGGAGCTTCTGCCTTCCTCCCTGGGCCTGGCAGTCCCAAGGACTAGCCCTGCGGACCCCCTCCCCCACCCAGCGCTCTGGGCGTGGCTTCCCCTCGGAGCACCGCCCATCCCCAGCAGGGAGCCAGGGCCCTCTGGACATTCACCTGGGCGGCCTCCTGGGTGTCCTGTCTCATTCTCTTTTGCAGGTTCTCCCCCATCCTGCCCTGGAAAGGAGGAAGTGACTCAAGGTCAGTTCTTGGGCGGCTTTCCCTTTCCTGACCCTGCTCCGTCCTCCGCGGTCCTGTGTAGTCTCCCCGCCCCAGAGCCCACCGATGGGCTGTTGTCAGCCCTACCTCATCCAGCCAGACCTCTCACGCCCCAGCCTGTCAGAGTGTCTATTGCCTGCTTAACACCTCTACCTGGAGCCGCGTCGTGCGATCCTCTAAGTGTGGTTCACATCTGGTCACTCCTGGGCCTAAAATCCTGCAGAGGCACTGGCCATGGAGCAGGCATGGTCTTGCACTGAAAACACCGGGCATCCGCTTACAGAATGAGAATCTGGGCACAGACCTGGCACCCTTCCCAAAACCAACTCAAAAGGGATCACGTTTAAACGTAAAATACAAAGCCAAAAACCTCCTAGAAGTCAATGTCAAAGAAAATCTCCATGACCTAGGTTTTTTTTTTCTAATAAAGATTTTACTTATTTATTTGAAAGGCAGAGTTACAGAGAAGCAGTGGCAGAGGCAGAGAGACAGAGAGACAGAAAGAGAGAGAGAGAGAAGTCTTCCATCTGCTGATTCACTCCCCAGATGGCTGCAACAGCTGGAGCTGAGCCAATCTGAAGCCAGGAGCCAGGAGCTTCTTCCAGGTCTCCCATGCGGGTGTAGGGGCCCAAGGACTTGGGCCATCTTCTACTGCTTTCCCAGGCCATAGCAGAGAGCTGAATTGGAAGAGGGGCAGCTGGGATTCACACCAGTGCCCACGTGGGATGCTGGCACTGCAGGCGGCGGCTTTACCTGCTACACCACAGCGCTGGCCCCATGGCCTAAGTTTTGACATCAGTTTTTCAGAGACGACACCCAAGTGGTAATCCGTGAAAGAACTGGTCAGCTAGACTTCCTTAAAATGAAAAACTCATGCCTTGTGAAAGACAACCGTTAAGACACAGACTAGGAGGAAATATTTGCAAAGCGACATCTGATAAAAGGGCTGCCACCCAAAATACACAAAGAGCTCTTACAACTCAGCAAACAGTAAGGAAGCGAACAGCGCATCTAGGAAATGGGCCAAAGGCGAGCCCAGGCCGGGGCTGAGCTGCCCACCCCCTGCGGGCTTCCATTAGGGAAACCGGCAGCTCTCCGTCTCCCGGAGCTGAAGCCGGGACATCCATCCGCACCACGCTCCTTGAGGAGGGTAGAATTTTGCCTGCTGGTGTCGTGGCTGTGGTTGTGTGACCTCCCGTGGCAAGAGGGACTTTGCAGGTGCAGTGACGGCTGCAAAATAGGCAGATTATCCTGGCTTAGCTCGGTGGACCCAGTGTAACCGCAGGAGTGGAAGAGGCAGGCAGAGGGAACCAAAGGGGAGAAACGCTCAAGGTGTCACCCGCAGGGAAGAGGTAGCCTCGGCCAGGGAGTGCGGCCGCTGAGGGCCACCTCCGAGTGACAGCGAGTGAGTGGGGAAGCAGAGACTTCAGGGTCACACCACAGCTTGTATGGCCTGGGACAGAGCCTTCCTGAGTCTCCCGGGAAGAACCCGCTGCCTCGCACTCTGGGGCCTGTGAGACCCTTGTCCCCAGACCCAGTTGAGCTCAGCCAGGACTTGTCACCAACAGGCCTGCGTGGTGGTGAGTGGGTGTTGTCTGCAGGCTTCTGGATTTGTAGGGATTTGTCTCTGCAGCCACAGGAGATGAACACACTCTCTCTGATTGGACAGCTCTAAGGAGGAGCTATTTGTGCCACGCGGGTTAGGGGATGTGGAGTGGGGAGGGGATCTCCGGAGAGACAGCGCCAGTGGGATGAGCCTGTCCAGAAAGACACTGGTGGCAGGAATTCCTCACGGAGCCCATAATCTGCAGAGTGGGTCAGCAGGCTGGCGACCGGGGGAGGAGCCGTCCCACGACCCGGAGGCCGGGGGCTGCCTCACCCAGAGTCCACCCATTGAACGTGAATCCTCCCAACGCACCCTCACAGATCCAGCCCAAGAGATGCTGGGCCACGCGTCAACACCAGACTCCAGGGCCCAGCCGAGTCCATGCATAAAATTAACCATGGCACCTGGGTAGCTGGTTGGTGGTTTGGTTGGTTTAAGAATGTGGCTGCTTCCCAAAGAAAACAAATAAATAAGCAGATTTAAAGCAGGCACATTTGCGCTGCGTATAACTGCAGGGGTAAATATAGACAGAGCTACAGGCATTTCAGATTTCACGGAAATTAGCTCAACGCTGCCTTCAGAACTGCCGGTGCTGGGGAGGGGGAGCTGGGGTCCCGTCATCTCAGCTTGCCCAACTGGGTGTTCGTCAAATTTTTCTTCATCCCATGTGGGCGCCGGTTCGAGACCCGGCTGCTCCACTTCCAATCCAGCTCTCTGCTATGGCCTGGGAAAACAGTAAAAGATGGCCCAAGTGCTTGGGCCCCTGCACCCACGTGGGAGACCTGGAAGAAGCTCCTGGCTCCTGGCTTCGGATCGGCGCAGCTCCGACCGTTGCAGCCATCTGGGGAGTGAACCATCGGATGGAAGACCTCTCTCTCTCTCTCTCTCTCTCTCTCTCTCTGCCTCTCCTTCTCTCTCTGTGTAACTCAGACTTTCAAATAAATAAATAAATCTTTAAAAAAAAAAGCTACTGATTCACTACCCATTTGAAAATAAATTTTCTTCATCTATTTTATGTATTTTAGCTATTTTGTGATTACTTTAAAAGCAAATGTATGAATTATCTGGAAAAGTTTGGAAGAGTGAGGAGGGGGATTAGACTTCCTGTAGCTAAAAGCACATTATAAAGCTGCAGTAAAGTTTGTCATTGGCACAAAAAGTAGAGCAATCCATGAAACACAGCACAAGCTCAGAAAGCGCCCCCAGCTGTGTGCACACGGGGAAAGGTGCCATTTGGGGTCAGGGTGGGAGACCGGCTGCCTTTTCTCCTGACCTCCAAAAATAAATCTAAGATTTGTTAATGAAATGCAAAAAATGAAGCCATAAAAAGCAAACATGTGAATTTAGTTATATTCTTGGCATAGAAGAAGACCCTGTTGCATGCTATAAATGCATACCATAAAATACCATAAAAGGAAAAGATTTTAAAATTTTTGTCTAAATAAAAACTTAGATTTCAAGGAAAGAGACAAACTGGAGAAACCATTTACCGATGTATGACAACTTCCCTTAAATCCAAAAAAGTTGTAAGAGTCAACAATGAAAAAAATAGGCAAAGGTAATGAAAACATTGCAACCATTAAGCACAAAGATGGACAACTTTACTAATAAAGAAGTGTATTTATGTAAACAACTAGATGCATTTTTTAAAGATTTGTTTATTTGATAGGCAGAGCTACAGAGAATGAGGGAGAGACACAGATGTTCCATCTGCTGCTTTGTTCCCCCAAAGGACTACAACAGCCAGTGCTGGGCCAGACTGAAGCCAGAAGCCAGGCACTCCGTTCTGGGCTCCCACCTGGACGGCAGGGGCCCAGGTACTTGGGCCATCTTCCCTGCCTTCCCAGGTGCATTAGAAGGGAGCTGGATCAGAAGCAGAGCCAACCAGTTCTCTGACACTCAGATATGGGATGCTGGTGTCACCAATGATGGCTTAACCTGCTGCACCATGACACCAGCCCCTCCATACAGCTTTTGTTCAATCAGATTAGTG